TGATAATATTTTTCTGAAATAATGATGGTGATTTTTGTCGGTTTTCCTTGGCAAATTTTCGTGCATTCTTAAAAAGCAGGAAAACGCATGTACATACATGTTCATTGGTGGACAACTGAATTTTGTGATGTGTGTATTAAATTATATTAACTTGTGAACATAGTTTGCAAAATGCATGAAATTTTCAATTTTACTAGTGAATAATATGTACTTAATCGCCCTATGTTTATTAAACTGAGTGAGCCACATATTGTTTTTTAAATATGCTTTCTTATTACATTTAGGTTTTAGCAGTCATGCGTCAAGAAATAGGTTTAGAGTAAATGCAATTTGTATGGCTCCATTTTCCACTACTTTTCATAAAATTAAACTTAGAATGTTGGAGAACTGATTCTTATTTTTTTTATGTAAATATAACGTACTCAGATATTTACTCAAGAACTATGGTATGATGGATAATGTTATGTTAAATACACTAATATTGTGCCTTTCCCGAAATCATGGCATCGGCTGATGCATTGGCTTCATCTTTTGAGCTCCTAAATACTAGACTCAGGAGGCTCGATCTGATATTTTTTGACTGCACATTCAAAAGAAAGGAATTATAGCCTGATACATTATACAGGAATGATTAAATCGGTCATATGTGGAATATCGAGTTGATGTGGAATTGTTCACGGTCTGGATATGGCACTTATTGCAATGTGGCAACGGAAGTGTTCAATTTATTTTTGGTGAGATTTTGTTTCATGGAAAAACACTGAAGAAAAAAAAACGAGCAGTGCCCGCTTGTACGAAGGAGCCAAAAGAAGGAATGCAGTAATGATAGTTATACAGAACATTCGTACGGGGCAAAACCTTCATTTATGTTTTGCTTGGGTTATGCTGCTAAAATATAAGTTGCATTGATTTCATTTTTGTGATGCCTTTGGTATCATAAACTCCTTTAGTCTTACGAAACCATATTTCAGGGAAAGGGTTGTAAAACTGTAAAATCAGGACATCACGTGCGTTTTTATTATTCCATATTTCCTTTTCTATCGCAAATTTCGTTATGCAGACCTTTATGTTATAGGTCTAAAATATAAAGAATGTTTTGATTCTGATCGCCGCAGTCCTCAATTGAGGTCAATAAAGAAATTCAAATGTCTTGAATTTGCGTTTTTGTTCTTGAACCGTTTTAGTAGTTCTGAAGAGTTTTCGTCCTGCCTTGATGCTAGTTTTTCCAAACTGTATAAATGGGTTACAAATTCAGTACTGAGAGAAAGAGCAATGCAGATTCAAGAGAGTAAACACTTTATTCACACAATTCCAACATGGCGCAGCCCAATCTTTTCGACTCCAGCGGGCGCTGTGTAAATAGACTGTGAACACAACACTCGACTATACTATTGGATCCACGAAACCCTCACGTGTTCTGTGCAGTCTTTTTTTATATTTAATTTATTTAATTTATTTATATTTTAATATAACATTATCCTTATGAAAATATTTACCAACGTAGCATAACGTTCACGTTAAAAATAAATGTTGCAAAATGTGCCAAAAGTGTGACCGCATTTGCGGTCTCCATTTGTATGTCAGCATATAAAAGGGAGACCGCAAACGTCAAAATTGAGTGGGAGGCTGGATGTTGGAACGGAGTTGAAACTGTTGATTGAGCAACTCCAGACGGAGTAGGTCCAAATGCAATAGCAGATGAACTCACTGAAGAGGAAAAGAGTGCGATGACTTCCATTGCCAACTTTCTTTCGACAAATCCGGTTCCACACATCAGCTTTCCAACAACTCGAGCAATTCATGAGATGGAAGCCACCAAGCCGCAATACAGGATGGATTGAAAAGAAATTAACCGAATTCTTAAAATTATGTGGCTCCATTTTGATAAAAAAATATAGGGATTAAGTACATCTTATTGACTTTTAACTGTGAAAAAATTTCGCGTAATTTTCTTACTCTATGACCGGCGTTGTATCTACATGTATTTCAATAAAAAGATCACAAAACTCAGCTGTCCATGGACGTTCAGATCCCAGTTTTCGTGGGCAAGTGGTGGGGCGATTGGACATCATCTTCTTATGGGGGCGCTGTTCAGACCGGCCGATCATGGGCAATATCGGACAATAGGTGCCGCTTTTCATGACGGCACATATGCCGACTTTTGCGCAACATTCCAAAAAACGGGCGCTCGTTAAGAAAGAGCGCTCGTAAAAAACGGCACTCTTTACAAAATATATGGGGGGGGGGTAAATATCCCCCATCCCCTCACCGGCAAAGGAAGTACAATTGGGGGTGCGCGGCCACTGCGTGTACATATAACGTGTACGCGCGTCTTCTCACACAAGGAACGGTGCACGTCAACCACTGATCTCTATGTAACGACTTGATAGCGAATAGAGAGCCGCACAATGAATGAATTTGACGCCATATTGGTGAGACCGGTGAGACCGGCTGGTGATCTACAAAGGACAAGTTGCCGAATTTATAGACAGCATGATTTCTTTTGTAACATCGCGGTTCACTTGACTTATATTTTGACCACCACCACTGACCAAGGTTTACAATTTTTCTAACGACGTGATTTACTTTTTCAATGCCGCAGTTCACTTTTTCGGCGTTTTGGAAATATTAATCACTACGGAAATGTGTCCCTTTTAGAACATCATTATATGTGTACGTGACTAAAGTGCGCGTCAACTGTTGATACAACGCGTGCGTATGTACGCGCTGAACGTTCGTATTATACGCAGCCATCTTCGTTAAACCGGGGGCGAATTGGTCAATATGTAAAGTCTACTGTGTGAATGCTGTATGGATATCCTCTATCCCAACCTCGTGCCCCGTGGGTACGATCTTGCAGCGCCATGGTGTTTCCCATCATGCCTTGTGCGATCGTTAGTGTAAGGAACTCTCCCTTTTTTTTGGCTTGCCTTCCCCCCCCCCCCCCCCCCCCCCTCGCGACGCCCATGATAGTTGCCATTTGAATATTTTGATTGTTTATTTCGCGTGCGATTGTAATGAATCTGTTGCTTATCATTCATCTGGTTACAAATTCGTAAATGTTTACTTCCTTGTGTTTGATTTTTTTTTATTGAATCGGCTTATTCATCTGTATATTTATATTTTTGTTTCGATATCGTTTTTACTTATTTTACAATATTGATGCTTAGCTTTAATTTATGACTAGCAACATCATTATTCATTTATGGCATTTTCTATTTTCTCTAACCCTCACATTTTATCCCATGTTCTCTATTTGTGTTTGTCCGATTGTTAGTCTGTTTCTGTAATTGTTGAGTTGACATTTCGGTTTTGTTTTGTCAAGGCATCTTCATATAAGCCCCCGGCTTCGAAAGATGCCTGTATAATTGCCTACATAGCTATATACATGTTTGATCTTGTTGAGTGATCGGGCACAACCCGACCACTTTCTCCGCGGGTTTTCTTCTAAACCGTTCGTGATATTGAAGTTAAAACGATATCGAAACAAAAATATATATAAACAGATGAATCAGCTGATTAAATAAAAAAAATCCAACACAAGGAAGTGAACATTGAGGAATTGTTTACCAGATGAATGATAAGCAACAGATTCATTACAATAGCACGCGAAATAAATAATCAAAATAATGAAATGGCAACTATCATGGGCGTCGCGAGGTGGGGGGGGGGGGGGAAGGGGGGAGGGCAAGCCAAAAAAACAGGAGAAAAAAAGGGGGGGAGAGGGGCGAAATCATATTGTTGTTTATTTAAGGGGTTGGGGGGGGGGCCTGGGGGGAAATACCCTGCCCACCCTCGAAAAAATGATCAATCGGGAAAATGCAGGAAAACATAGGGATTTGGGAATCGACACCTCATTTATCGTTACGTTATGGCTCATCTGGTTCCCGAGATATCACTTGTTACGTATTTCAATATGGCGCCGGCAGCCATTTTGAAAAAAAAGTGCTATAAAAAGTTGGCCGTCACTTTTGGGAGGTGTATAGGAGCTATTTTTTTCTTTACATTGGTCCTATTTGTCAAATACATCAAGGACAAAAAAGGTATCCGCAACATGGTTACGGATTCCAGGAAAATGACTCTACTATCCTTGCTCAATCTGTAATATTGTACCTAGGGACGGGAAGATGTTGTTCCTGATTAATTAGATAATTGTTTCAATCATTTGAATGAATCTCCATACAAATCATCGTTTGAGTGTTGAGTTAAAAAAATGTGACCTCATTTCAGAATATTATTAATGCAATTATTCATTTCATTATTGGAGTAAATCAACGTTCTCTGATGACCAATGTGGCAAAACTGAAATGGCAATTTACTTACAATCAATCTTGGGAGGGAAGATTTAAAAAAAAAAACAGGAAAAGGAGATATTCGAAAATGTAAAATAAAGAAGTGTGGAAAAGCTGTTTGAGGTGATTAAGGTAACTCGTCATCGTTCATTAAATGTATTTTTTTTAATTATTTGTTTTGGAAGAGCGCTTCAAATCTCTCCTGTAAGAAAAAATCTTACTCAATAATCGAGTTTCCAGGGTAAACAAAATGAATGCACAATGCGCGTTTACCCGTCTGACAGTAAACGCGCCGCCTTTGTTCGGCCGCGCATTCGTGCACAAACACTGCGGGAGTCCTATCCAGTCTGTGTATATGGAGATCAATTCTTGTATTATACAGTCCATGCATTTCGTGCGCATTAATATTGGTGGTGCGTCGGTAAAGTGCTGACTTTAGGTTACTGGTTAAACAGTATGAATCCAATGAGAGATCAAATACACTAGTGGTAACCAAGGCCTTTTTTCATCATTCGGCCGTACCATTGCTATAGCGTAGGGATCTAAAAGCGGACCCTGAGATACATGATGGGAGGCTTTTGTGGCAATACTAAAGCAAATGCTATATTAAGAATATGACGTAATGGCGCGCATTAATAATAATTGCCCGACAAACGCAGTCGGTATGCGCTTTGTACAGTACGCCGTGCCAGGCAGTGACGACGGTTGAAGAAGCAGAAACACTCTAGCGTAATTATAAGGTAAAACGATTGCATTTGTTTTTCATTCCGTAAGATTCAATGCAGTCATTCATTACAATTTGTACAATCACGTACACATTTTACAATGATATGATATTTGATAAATATTACGTACACAGCAATCAAGCAGCAAATGAAATTACATTGAGGTGTAAGGTTTAAGCGAAAGGCTTTTTTGTCTGTAAGGCACTTGTACAAGTGCAAATTCCATCTAGTGGATGTCCAGCATAGGGCGTCGAGGCGGAGCAAAGAAGCAAGCATTTTTGTATATGTTCTAATATACTATGCAAACTAACCTATGGACACTGAGACAAATATTGGCTACAAGATACTGTGAAATGGACACTAAGGACAAACTAAACACAAGATAAGACAGACAACTACGTGTGAGACGAGGCATTTTTCACTGAGATAGGGCAATGATTTTTAAGAGAATCATCCTAATTATTCCAGTATAAAAGATGCCTCGACGAACAACACTATTTAATACATTGACGTTCTGTTAAATTGGACGAACACATTTTCCCTAGCACTAATTCGTGTATTATAGCTTATAGGCCTACTTAAAATTTAGATGTCTTTTTTGCGTCAAATAAGAAATTAATACAGGGAGGGAATATCTTATGCGTGAATGTATACATGAGTTATTCCCGTGAAGTGATATAAGTCATTACAATATAATAGATTTTAATTTAGCAAACATCATGATCACGATAGCCAGCATTCGAAATTGCACGAACCGCTCGTCTTGGTAAAGTAAGTAATGTGTCACATTAACGTTTCGTAAACGTATTAACTGCCCCAATTCAAGATTGAGTAATTTAAATATCGTAAAACGAATGAAATGAAATTGTACTCGGGAGGTACTATTTTAAACGAGTAACATGCCAGTGTTCTTGAATATTTTTATTGCTTCTTCGTCAATACGGTTTTCCGAGTAAGTTTTTCATGAATGGTAATACCCAATACTTAAGTTCTTTTAATTTGAATTAGCCTTGTTTTATTAAAAATCAAAGGAACAAATTGTGTGTACTTGAATTGATCGATACAAAATTATAGAACTTAATTTGAGGACATAAATACATAATTTGTTTATGAAATGCGTAGCTGCCACAGAGGTCATCTTTGAAATGCGAGCAAACATATGTAGTGTTATTTTGCCGTGAAGCAAAGGGGTATAGGCTTCAATAAAACTGGAACGAAAACATACACACTGACTCTTCTATGTGATTTACTTGTCGAGCTGATTTATTTTGCTTCTGTCCACCGAAAATCATGCCGAAACTTCCCTCATGTTTCCACATATCATTCTGCCACTCATTTTTCCTGTTGCGCGTACTCTTTTCCCGCGCCTCCAAATGTATACATTGTAATCATTTATTGTCTAGCGTATGACCCTGGCGACCTCGGCGGGTCTGCCCAGATACGGATACTTTTTATAGGTTTTGTCTGACGCCCTCTCTTGATCGCAATAATAACACAAAAATGCATGGCCTGACAAAAGATTATTTCGCTACAAACTCCCCTACTTGGGTGATCTACTCCTGGAGATCAAGGTTAAAAGTAATGCTTTCACAGGATCAAACAAAATCAAAATGTCGTTTCTTTACAGCATACATTATTTGCCTTACTACACATACTTATTATAAACAAGGAAAAACTGGAAATACAACAAGCTTGAATAACAATTGATAAAAATGAATACGTGTACTGCTATGTATCCATTCAGGCTGTCTTCTATAACAGTCATGTAAAAGTTACAATGATTGGCCCAAAATCTCGATAAACTCTATACACATTATACTCTGTTACATGATACAACTCCTCTTTTGAATTTACATGTATGAATACTCTAATCAGTTACAAATGTAGCTTAATGCTTGTGTCCTTGAAGCTAAAACCAGATACGAGAGTCGAAAAACTTAAGTAACTTTCGTAGTGTCCTCTCATACTGTAGCATTCCTTCCGAATTAAGATGCACCCCATCTAAACTAAAACGCGGGTTCTTGAGACCCCGATGGCGCCAAACCCACCATCGATCTTCAAGGAACGTGGACTTTTCCAACAGCTCATTGAAATCTTTGACTCTCCTATTAAATGTCTGCAATGACACTTGGTAGCTTCTCAACCCCCCGGTTCGTGGCAAAACTGGTAAAAACACCAAAGTATCGGGGTATACGTCCCACTTATGAAGAGCAGACACCATATTACAAAGTGAGGTGTGAACCTGGCTAGGGGTTCGCTCAACCGAACACAGGTCGTTTGTTCCCAAATCAATAATTAATACTGTGGGTTGCAATTTCTGTAACTGTCGGAAATAACGGCCTTGGTTACACAGGACCCGGTCAAAAGTCAACCCACCTTCGCCAATACATGCGATAGGGATTTTGCTTCTCTGCAGTTCTACCTCATATGCAAAACCATGCCTGTTCCTCATTCTCTTTACGAAACTGTGACCAAAAAGTACAAAACCTCCCATAATTACTGGAGATGTTGGCTAGCCAAGTTGTCACTACAGGAAACTGGATTCCCCAAACCTTCCTTCGAAGTAGCAACAAGGCTTTCCACACACCTGAAAGAAAGTTATCAAAACAGGTTACTATTATACATACAGGTACTTACAAAATACTACATATAACTCTGTAAAATTCTTGTACTTCCTGTCAAACACATGTTGATGCTGACAGATGGGTGATCACCAGGTGGAAACTGGATACCCCAGCCTTTCCTTTAGTAACTTCCCAACGTACAGCACGCAACAAGCGTTCAAACAAAGTAGATAGACATTACTTTATAACTGACTTGGGCAGTCGAAATGGGTTGCTGTTCATGCCCCGATTAATTCTCTGAGACCGTCTAGGCAGCTTAGAGCCACCTGGCTCCCCTACTTTATCACTGCCAACACCATGTTGTTTTTGACCCAACACTTGTTCTACGGGTTGCTCTATTACATCCCAATCTGAATCTGAACTGGATTCCTCACTACCCTGAGAATCAATTTCCGCCATAGGGTCAAGTCGTAAATATTTCCTATTTACGATTCGCTCTGGTCCACCTCTAATAGGACGGATTCGGAAAACATCCCCATGTTCACTGGTCCAAATTACCTTATATGGGACCTTTTCATATTTATCTGCTAATTTGTGACGACCTTTAAATGCTAGTCTTCTCATAAGCACCTGTGAACCACAGTGTATGGGTTTGTCGACACGCTTACTATCGTGACGCTGCTTATTTTGGATATTTCGCTTAGTTACTCTCTCTTTTACAATCTCTCTAGCACGATCTAGCAATTCTCCCTGTTCAGCAACAAAGTCCTGCTCCCAATTACTATCACTCCTTCCTAGCATCTGATCCAAAGGGATCAGAGGTTCCCGCCCAAACATTAAAGTGTATGGAGGGACCCCAGTCGTACAATGAGGTGTTGCATTGTACACAAAAACTAAATGCGATAGTAAATCTGGCCATTTGCGCCTGTCACGCTCATCCAGAGAGCGAATCAACCCAAACAAGGTCCGATTAAAGTGTTCGGCTTGGCCGTTCCCTTCAGGGTGGTACGGGGTGGTCCTCGTCTTTTTAATTCCATACAAGGTGCAAAGCTCCCTTACAATATCCCCCTCAAAATTTCTCCCTTGATCGCTGTGGAGTCTATTCGGGATACCAAACTTTGTGAACCAATGGTCCCTTAACACTTTAGCAACTGTGACTGCGTGTTGATCCTTACAAGGTACTGCTTGCAAAAACTTTGTGTATACATCTGTCATTATAAGAACATCTTCAAATCCCCTGCAACCCTTGTCAAGTTTAACAAAGTCTACCGCTAGAACTTCCAAAGGCCGAAATGCCAGCAGATGACGCATGGGAACCTTTGTCTGCGGTTGAGCCACCTTGGAAGTAATACACCTCTGGCAATGGTCAATATAATGACGAACGGTTGCCGTCATTTGTGGCCAGTAAACCCGTCTCCTTAATAATGAACTTGTCCGGACAACTCCCTGGTGCCCCCATCCGTCATGGCACCCTTCCAATACTCTCTGTCGAAGACTTTTCGGCAAGAGTATCTGGAATAATTCTCCATGTATAGGATCAATTACCCGCCGGCAAAGAACCCCGTCACGATCAACAATACGTGACCACTGATCAAGCCATAATTTAATCTTAGGTGATTGGCCATGTTCATCAGACACTACCTCCCCTGGTGTCCACCTCCGGTTCCAACACTCCCAGACACAACCCAACTCTGTATCACCCTTTTGCAAGGAAGAAAGTTGCTCCGTCGACCAAGACGGAAACACACCAGGAGGTCCAGCCCCCTCTGTGGGTACTTCATTATGTGTCTGTTTAACCTTCACTTTATCAACTACTGCTGTCTTGGGAAGTAAAGTCGAGTGCAACTTATCCTGCATAAGACCTTCAACCTCTGACGAATCACTTGCATGCCCAGGATACCTACTAAGTGCATCTGCACATCTGTTGCTTCTCCCTGAACGGAACTGTACTTCAAAATTGAACGCGGCTAATTGCGAAACCCAACGCATCTCAGTAGCACCTAACTTTGCTGATTTGAGGTAAGCAAGCGGGTTATTGTCAGTAAGGACAATAAAGGTTGCCCCCAAAAGGTGATCTCTAAACTTATCAACTACCGCCCACTTGAGCGCCAAAAGTTCCAATTTAAAGGAACTATAATCCGGGTATTTAGCTTCAACACCCCTTAGACCGCGGCTGGCATACGCTACCGGATGCCTTCTACCATTCTCGTCATCCTGACACAGACAAGCTCCTAAACCCTGCAGGGATGCATCCACCTCCAGGACAAATGGTTGGGCAAAATTGGGATAGGCCAAAACTGGTGCATGTGTTAAAGCATGCTTCAATGCATCGAATGCTAACTGCGCATCTGAGTCCCAGACAAAACTAGGTAACTTGCCTCTCGCATTGCCCTTAGCCTGTGAGGGTATAAGAGCATGCAGTGGCGCCGCTATTCTGGAGAAGTTTTGCACAAAGCGCCTATAATATCCAGCCAGGCCCAGGAATGATCTAAGCTGCGCGGCATTCTCCGGAATCGGCCAATCCTTAATTTTCTGTATTTTGTCTTCATCCACAGCCACACCCTCTGGCCCAACCACATGCCCCAGGTAGGATACATGTTCACTAAACAAGTGGCACTTTGAGCCCTTCACCTTTAATCCAAACTGAGCAAGCCTAGACAAAACCCTGTCCAACCTGTTGATATGTTCTTGAACAGTAGACGAAAACACCAAAATATCGTCAAGATAAATCAGTAACTCACACAGGTTCATGTCACCGAGACACATCTCCATGACCCTCTGAAAGGTTCCTGGTGCATTTACTAGCCCGAAAGGCATTCTGGTGTATTCGTACAAGCCAAAGGGAACCCGAAACGCAGTTTTACTGACAGAGTCAGGGTCCATCGCTACCTGATGATATCCGTGTGCGAGATCCAAAGATGAAAAATACTTAGCCCCCCGGAGTGCCTCCAGTGACTCCTCAATTCGAGGCAAAGGAAAGGAGTCACGCACCGTTTTGGCATTCAGCCGCCTGTAATCGACACAAATTCTTAAGGACCCATCCTTCTTTTGTACAAGCACTATAGGGCTCGCATAGGGACTACTACTCTTTTGCACAATGCCCTGGTCCAGGAATTTTTCAATTAACTCCCTAACTTCTTTAAAGTGGTGTGGAGGGATACGCCGATACGGTTGGTTTATCGGATGGTCATCGGTTGTCTGAATCTTGTGAGGGACTTGGTCACAAAACCCAAGGTCCAGTGAATCTTTTGAAAACACCGAGTCATGTTTTTGAATCAAATGTACTATCTGATCCCGATCCTCCCTGCTCAATTCTACACCCAAGTCAAGACTTAACCCAATGGGTAACTGGTACTCCGAACCATCCCCGAAAACGTACAACTCGCCGTTCGGCGACGACTCCCCATCACCTATTTCAATATCATGGTCCACGGGTTTGCCTAAATCAGTCTGGGGCAACTCCTGATACCCCAAAGATTCACAAAGGATATTACTCACTGAAACATGAATCCCATCTGACCCCTCCTCAAGTTCAACATTGGGCCTGGTAGTGATCTTTGTGACGCTGGCAAGTTTAAAGTGTGAAGGTATTCCAAGTACATGGGCTCCCACATTTGCCACCAACACATTGACAATTCTACCCCTGGTTATCTCACATGAATCATAAACCTTAAAGTTGGCACCCAAAGTACATGTACCAGAGTCGGATTGTTCCCCTGTTCTATTACTGAGCCCCATTTCGTTCACTCCAGGCAGACCCTCAACCAAAACCGTACACCCCTCTAAGGTGTCAGTCGGTGCTCTTAAGTAACACGGTATGCTGCGCACCTCTCTTGGCAATATCATGGTTGGGTTTCTGCCTGTACGCGCAGCAACTGGTCCCTTACCAGATGTCTCGTTGACTATATTTTCAGTTTCAGTTTGGTCCAATCCCCTTGAAAACCCATACCACTGTAATGCTAATGACCATGCACCAGCGTCTTCATGCTCGGGTTCTATTGTAAGATCTTTCAGTAAGTGCAGTACGTTGCATCCAAGCAACACTGGACAAGGTCTATGTTTTGGGTCAGCCTCCACGGAATCCTTCACTACTAAAAAATGGCCTACAACTGTGTAGTTGTAAACACTCAAAGGGACTTCAACATACCCCTCAATGGGTAGTTCAACGCAACTTGCTCCAAAAACTCGCAAATGCGTCCCTATCTGTTTCAATCCGGCCATCTTTTTAGCTAGATTCTCCCTGTAGAAAGATGCAGAAATCAGAGACGCCTCCGCTCCGGTGTCAAGTACACATGTGGTTTTGACGCCTGCCAAAGTCACACAAGCCTTTGGGCTTTCTCGCACCAACTTAGAGAGCACCTCATCAATGGAAGACTCTGACTGCACCCTTCCACATTGGGAATCTCCTTTTTGTGAGGCCTTTTTGACCTTGTCCTCCACCACTCGGCCTACAGTTGTGGAGCGTGGGGGTTTAACCCCTCCCCGACTACTTTACCCTGCACATTACTACTTAACTGTGGTTCGCGTGATGGCTGAGCTGTTGTCGCTGCCTCCTTAGCTATTCTGCGCTTGCAATGAGCCTTGATATGCCCTGGTTTCTTACAGTAAAAACAAACCAGAGGTGGTCTGTTCCCGGCAGTATCCGATACCCACGGAATTTTCGCATCTTGCCCTACATGTACATGTTTCAACAATGTATTCAACTGCTCCTGTTGCTTTAACAACATACCCTGTTGTGACTGGAGACATCGCAACAGCTCTTGCTGTTGTGCTAACACCTGTTGCAACTGGTCATTATTCCTATTAACTGAAATTTCATTGACCTTGACCCCCGGTGTACTATCTTCAGCCTCAGGTGATACACTTTCAGCTGACACCTGGTGCACTTGACTCCGTTTGGGGCGTGACCCCCCTTCAATGTCACGGAAAAGTTCCCGTGCTGCATCGCGCATCTCACTGAAACTTTGGGAAGGTTTGGCTAACTCAAGCCTGCGCAGCTCCAGCCTAACAGATTGAATTCTAGCACCAGCGACAAACTGGCTGATTAATACCCTGTCGCGTAACCCCTTGAGGGCGCCCTTCTCGCCTTCTGTCGCGACTTCAAGGATTCGATCATGAAGTCGCATAAGCGATCTAGAAAAATCCATCAGTGATTCTTCCTCCCTTTGAGTGCGCTCATAGAGGGCTTTTTGAAGAGACTGAACAGTCTCGTCCGCACCAAAACTCCTCTTAAGCAGTTTCTTTAGGGAAGCAATATTGTTTTTAATTTCATCCCCATGGCACTTAATCTCCTCCCGGGCTACCCCTGTTAAATGCTGAATAACAACCTTTGCTTGCTCATCCTCCGGGATACTGCATTGCTGAATGTACACATCTACTTCATCTAACCATTCTATTATAGTGGGGTCCCCTGCCCTTGTGGGTTTACCCGAAAACTTTGAAAGCTTGATTGGGCGCTGTGATACAGCCCGAGGCTTATCCTGCTTTAGGGCATTTGTCAGCCCTGTCACCAACTGGGTTATCAAATCTGTTTCTGAGTCAGCCATAATATTTGCTTCTGTGCCAAACAAAAATCCCTCAAGCACTCTCAATCAAACTTTCATAACTTGGGACACACTATTGCATATGTACACAGGTAAATGAGATAATGAGCAAACTACATGTATTAGGCAGACTTCAAACACACCTCGACAATACAACAACTGGGTATTTTGTGTTTTCAGGGCAACCCTTAATGAAATTATAGCCTACGTACTGTTCAACATACAATTAAAGGTGAAAGTTCATTAATCAGTCCTGCAGTTACAATACCATGAGCTGTTTCACCAGTCGATCCAGGCCGGAGACTTGTCAATCCTCAGTTCATCCACCGCAGCGTTGAACCGTCACTCCAGTCCAGGTGTAGCCGACTTGACTGTTGCCCTCTCGAGCTCCCCACACCAGTAGGCCCAGTCCAAGCGAGTCTCGGACATCAAGCTTCACGCCTCTGTCATCCAAATAGTGCTATCCGTCACACCAACACCCCCGTTGTTCGAAGTGCAATAATTCAACGTCCAGCGAAGGCGTTTGTGTAGTTGCGGACCCCGTCTCCTCGCAGCGAAGACCGTACGTCCGCTGCCCACGGGTCTCGGTGCACTCCGTAGCGGATCAAACGGCAGCTGTCACGGCACAGCGGACTTCTCAGACAGTCCGCTTTTCAGCAAGATAGGCTCGATTGGGAAGGCCTGCAGCTCAGGTCTCGGTTGCATGCATGGATCGACGAAATCTAAAACCGTTCGCCGTATTTCGTCCCGTCTTGAAGCTAGCTAAGCAGCAGCCCAGGCAAAATCTCTCGACGATACGCTTCAAAATTCTGTTTTTGTCGTCGTCCAGTTCACGTTTCAAACACGTTACCCACACCCCATCCGTGTTACCAATTTGTAGTGTTATTTTGCCGTGAAGCAAAGGGGTATAGGCTTCAATAAAACTGGAACGAAAACATACACACTGACTCTTCTATGTGATTTACTTGTCGAGCTGATTTATTTTGCTTCTGTCCACCGAAAATCATGCCGAAACTTCCCTCATGTTTCCACATATCATTCTGCCACTCATTTTTTCCTGTTGCGCGTACTCTTTTCCCGCGCCTCCAAATGTATACATTGTAATCATTTATTGTCTAGCGTATGACCCTGGCGACCTCGGCGGGTCTGCCCAGATACGGATACTTTTTATAGGTTTTGTCTGACGCCCTCTCTTGATCGCAATAATAACACAAAAATGCATGGCCTGACAAAAGATTATTTCGCTACACATAGATGAACCAGACCAACAGACAATTAACTGATTGATTGATTGATTGATTACAGAGAATCCAGAGATACTTTCTGTCACGGTGATGGCCACTACTAACGCCCCTCCTTCCTACGTGGCTGCGCCTCAGCCCGTCGGCCAGCAACAACTGGTAAGCCAGTCAATTCTCCCGGAATATAACAGTTCAGAATAATACATTATGGTGTAAAAGAAAATCAAATAGAGCCCCAATATCGTGCACTGTGTGTATATCAGTATTATGTTAATTACTATAAGCCATCACTTATTTTAAGATAGTTATATGAATGACATTGATGGTGCTTTTATGTTACATATGCGGTATTCGCTATGCTGTCGCCATATTGCCTGCTTTGTACCGTTCAGTACAGGCAAGCTGCACACGCCGCTGGTCTTCGTACATGACTACACGCGCACAATTATACAGTCCACTTATTGTGTTTGCAATGTCATGTACGTACATGTACATGGACCCTATTCATGTGCTAATTTTGGCATAAGATCAATTATATCTACCTCAAGGACATGGTGTGTGTGGTGTTGCGCGAGTGTATCAATGAAAACATTGACTTACTTCATTGTTTTTATATTTTTATATTTTACCTTTATAAAAGTTGGCCCCAACCCAAATGAGGAAAAATGCTGGCCTTGGGTGAGCTGTCAAAGTGCGAAAAAGAAAATTGAAATTATCTGAACAGTTTGTTTCGCATGTGAAGCCCCCCACTTTGAAATGTTATGGCCTCGCCCATGAAAGGGTAAGAAAACATTGAATCAAGTGGTTTTGAACTTGTACAGGCATCCATACGTGATCCTGAGCGTTTCAAAGAGTGTACCGAAAAAATGCTTATGGGCCCACACAAGACCAATGAGTCATACCCCGAAAAACCATTGACACTCAACCTGATTCACCAGGTGACGGTGCAACCCGCTGCCGGCGTTACTTTCGGCACGGTCAACCCACAGCCTCGAAGTGGTAACTGGAAGGGTATTCTGTGGACAGGAACAATTCAAGTGGTTTTGGGTTCCTTGACCGTCATTTTTGGGATTGCCACCGTGACTGCATTTAACCGTGTGTACGATATCATTGACATCGGATCTCCAATTTGGTGTGGTATATTAGTGAGTACAATTTTCACCCTCATTCCATGCTATTCTTTGTTTATTGACAGTGCTGATTCGTTTGTTTTTGGCTTTGATGCCTATTATGATCATACTTTTAAACAGAGGCTTATGTGGAGAGCGGGGAATGAATTTTGCGGAATATTTCTCATTAAAAAAGACGAATAGTTGTTTACATGCACGAGGTTTACGGTGGGGTTACGGTGTACATGTGCAATGATACGTTTACGTTGTACAACAGACACTTTCGTTTTGTGTCCACATCGGAGGCTAAAGTGTCCAATATCTTGCCAAATGAACATTTTGGCTGCATTCGTATACATCTGTTGCACACGTGTGGACGCCAAATGAATCCTTTAGCCTTTCCTAAATCTCAGCAATGTTTTTTTTTGTACAGTTCTACGTCGTCGCTGGAATCTTGGGCATTGTGTCAGGATGTAAGAAGAATTCCGGAGTGGTAAGCCATTGTCAAGGGTTTCTTACTTGGCAGTATTAACGGTGTTCAGTTGTTGCTACTTTGAAGTGGGAAATCTTCAAAATGGGGAAAAAGTAACAAATGAATACAGTCCTGTGATATTTCGCAGATATATGGCCTGAATATTAACATATGACCCCTTTAATGGACTTGGACCAATTCCACCAATTGACAGAAAATCTTTTAGAAAGATTTTGAAGGAATTGTGATTTTTCTGCACAGGCTATCGGCTACATGGTCATGTCCATCTTGGCTTGTTTGGCGACGTGCTGCGTCATTGGTTTTAGTGCCGGCAGCATGTCAACCATCAATTCAAGATGCGTTTACTACGACTACAGTTATAACTCGTATGGTAGATATCGGTACCGCTGTGATTTGAAGGTGGGTCATACTTTAATCACCGTTAACGAGAAACGTTTCCTTTTTTATACACGTTATCGTTACTATAATTACACTCCACCATGCTGTTATTTGCAGGTGAGTAGAACTTTAATCCGCTGACAATGAAAAACGTTTTCGTGTTTCTGCCTCCAGGGGTGTATATCTTCTTTTTAATGGTCTTATTTGTTACATTTGTTTATTTCTCAGCGAATTTGCCGTCGTTGCTTTACTTTCGAGGCGCTATATTAATGAGAATCACGTCTCCGCTTTTCTTGATTTGAAGTATTTCCAAACTGCGATTTGTGTTTCAATGTGTATGATGAAGTTAAACGATTTTGAAAGATACCAAGACGTTTACAAGACGGAACGTTAGGCCTACGTACCGCAAAGATATTTAGGTTTAATAATATTTATGTGTTGAATTGTGGGATGCCCTTGAAGTGTGAAGGTAACTAATACATCATCTCTTGCAATGATTCTATGCAGGCGGCCATCAATGGTGTTTATGCTACACTGATACTTCTCGCCTTAGCGGAGTTTGTTGTCGCCATCGTTGGTGCCAGCATGACCTGCGGTCCACTCTGCAGTGGTGGATCAGCAACTCAGACTGTGGTACGTGACAACACCAAGTTATGTCCTTGTAGATCTGCATTGCTTTTTTTTTTCTAGATCAAGTAAAATTCAGTTTTACGGGGTGTAAATTAGCTCATTGTGACTTGTCTTAGGACATGGTGCGTTGGGATTAGGTTATTAAGGACTTTTGAGACCTTGTGATTGTACGAACCGAGCATTTCATGCTTTTGAGGTAAACTCCAGTTTAAATTCACCTGAAAAGCTATAGTGCGCTCATCGCGGCATGTATGTATCACAAGTATGGCAGTTATTATCGCATGTGGCAATATAGGCCTACCTTTCATCCTTTGATTGGCTTTCTTTCGAAAGCACTTCTGACAAAAACAATCTACAGGGTGAGTGAAAAAAAAAAGGAAACCCAAATGGTGCTCCCATTTTTTTTTCAAAAGACGTTCTGCATGTAGCGCTTTCCAGATCTACGATGTAAAAGCCTGATTAATAAACTTTCTTTCAGTGAAAGAATCATTCAAATCGCTCATGTACTTTTCAAGTTATGGAATTTTGAACACAAACACCATTTCAACCTTGTCCACGGATCACATTAAGGTACATGATCTAGGCAAGATCTCGCAAGCGCTACATGCAGTACTTTTTTTTTTAAATAGGGGGTCACCATTTGGGTTTCCTTTTTTTTTTTTTTTTTAAATCTCCCTGTAGTTATTGTCCGTTTCATGCCCTGGACTACCACTGAAGCTAGTAGACGAAACTATGAAAGGACAAATAGGCCTATATGTTACAGCACGGAAACACTTAATACTCGGGAAAATATAGCGAATGCTTTTTAGACCTATATTTGCTCAGAGATCATAATAATTCGACCACTTAAAATGTTAACATTATGGTAACACTTAGGTGTCAGGGATTTTAAGAGGAGAAGTCGATGTAAAAAGAAAAACACATTCAGATTCTGGATGAACGACAATTACACGTACGATAGCAAAGTGGGAGGTATTTAATTACAATATGTATTTGAGAGGAAAAAAACCACGCAAATGAAGTATTATTGTTCTCATAATGACAGATCCAATACCAAGCTCAACCACACATGGGGGTTGCCACACAGCCCCAGGGACCAGCCTTCTACAACATTGCTGGTCAGCCACAAGTTGGTAAGAGACGGCTTAAATATTATTTTAAGCTATAGTAATGATCAGATAGAAAAATCCCATGCTTATGGTCTCTCCTATGCAGCCTCTTGATTCATATAATGTGTTCCCCCTTTAGTGCATGTGTATATATATATATAGTATACCACCCTTCTTTAGTCGCCCATTTCCCCTTGTTCTTGTTTAGCCTACCCAGCGCAGCAGGGGCAGTATCCGCAAGCTCAAGCGCCCCCAACCGGTGAGTAATGGTTCCAAGAACTCATTAAATGACTCATTTGACCTAAAGGCATGATATCTAAGGCTTGAAACAGGATTTAAGTCTTGACTTATTCATGTTAAGCTGCATGTGGATTAGGTCTTAGCAATATGCCTACCTTATGTGTCAATAAAGAGATGTTGTAGACGTTTAAATTTCATACAGTGAATGAAGAAAAGTGTACTCAGATATTTCCTCAAAAACTGTGGTTACATAACGGAGAATGTATGCACTGTCTTATCCTTAAACTCTATTTGGCCATTTTCCCTTGTTTATTTTTGTTTGAATTTATAGCCTACCGAGCCCAGAAGGGGCAGTATCCGCAGGCTCAAGCACCCCCCACCGGTGAGCAACAGTACCAAGAACTCGTTAAATAGGTCATCGATGATCTTTGACCTGATGGACACATGATATCTGGAGTTGAAGGCAGAATTAAATTCTTGATTTGTTCATGTTAAAGGGAAGATACAACATTTGCAAACATCGAAAAATAAAGCTATCGAGTTTTTACGAAATACCTTACTAGGATGTTGGTAAATGACAGTCTAGAGCATCCTGTAAAAGTATTGCACCTGGTGTGAAGTCATTTTCAAGAAAATGGTATTTTTGTATACATTGGAAAACCTAACTATTTTTCAACTACTGCTGCAACTTTACACTTTTTTTCAGTCCAAATTTTGTTTGCTAATGGTTACATGTTCATGAACGGATGCAGGCCAGCTAGACTGGTCCGCTAACCTTACAATTTTCTGGCATCTATGAATTGATCCATTTTATCTTTAGTGGAGTCAAGGAACCAGACTACTTGAACATTTTTGTTTTTCTTGGTTTTTCCAGCATTTTCGAACACAAAACTTCAAATATGTCAGTGTAACAATATTTGATCTATTATACTAACCCCTCAAATAGTTCATTTCTGGAAATTACAGCAAAAGCCAATGATGTACATTCCCTTTAAGCTGTATCTGGATGTACATTAGGTTTAAGCAGTACATGCTGCGGGTCTACAAATAGATTTAGAAGCAATGAAATAATGTTGTCCTGCTTTATTTTAGAATGACTCAAATGAAAGTTTGAGAACTGGCGCTTATTTTTTTTTTTTTATAAATGAAGAAAGCATAACGTACTCAGATATTTACTGAAGAGCTGTTGTTTCATAAAGGATAATGTATTTTTTACACAGACTACAATTGAAATATTTCCCGAAATCACGGCATTGGATGCAGACATTGGCTTAATTTGTTGAGCTCCCAAGCACTGTACAACAATGACAGCCAAAGCCAAGTTTGACACTTAACAAATAAAGGAATCACCCTTATACATTTTACATGGGGCAAGATAAAATCCTGCGTATTGGGAATATTGAGTTGAAGTTTTTTTTTTTCTGGTTATGGAACTTATGCAATGTGGCATCGGAAGGGTTCAATTTTATGTGAGACTTGGCGTAATTTATATTATTACGAAATAAAAATATGGTACTCTAGTCTGTACAACACATAATGAGCCATTTCTTCGATTGTGACCATTAGATTCAATGGTTAATCGAGGTGAGGGCTGACATTGATTTTAGGTTGTAATTTACGAACTTTGTATGAGTTTAGGCCCACAGGGTGCTCAGCAACTATCCACGTCAGTGACTCTCAGATTTGTGTATTATACAGGGTGAGTCAATAAAGAAAGTGACCTGAAGTAATTATTTGCCTCTTAAATATCAAAACAATGAAGCGTACATTAAACAAGCATACTTTTTCCACTCATTTGAACAAAAAGATACTGAAATTGATCCATGCCATGATGTTTACTAAAGCTTTTGCTTAAAGACTTAATTTTGATATTCTACTAAAAGATTACATTTTTAGCGCTGTCCATGGAATGCCCTATAATAAAAGGAGCTATATTGTGTTATGTGAGAACCGCAGGTTACACACACCCATACATTCAGATGTAACTGAGATTTTGATCAAGAATGAAACAGTATTTTTACTGTCAGATTTTGTGTTTAGACTGTGAGGATTTTTTTCTGAAATATTGATGGTGATTTTTGGTCTGTTTTCCTTTGCAATATTTCGGTCATTTTTGAAGGCAGGATATCACAATTTTGTATTATGTGTATTAAAACATAAATTAAGTAACACTTAATACAATTTATAGATGACTGGTCATTCTATTTAGTGCATCACAACCCAACAAGAGTTTTGACTTGTTTCTGGCACATATAGAAGAATTACACGTAACAAAACAGGAACTGAATCCTAAAAAGGCTATATAACAATGGAAATGCAAATCATAGGTACAATGGTGTTACCGCAAACCGAAACGATACCGATACTCGTGCGCCATGCAAAGCCTAAAATCTTTCACAATGGAAAAAAACAATGAAGCCTGTACATCCCAGACATACACAGAGATATATACGTGTACAGCTTCATTATTGATAGTTGTGCCAGCAACAGGCCAGCAGCCATTTTGTGCTTGACAGAATCAAATTTTCACCGCCGCCACCCCACCGTCAACTCACAAAAAGTTATTACATTACAATCAACATCACTCGGTTATATACAAATGTATAGTTCTTAAGCAGTTAACAAAGTGTAGATTTATAACAAGTAGCAAAGTAGAGAGAAGAAAGGTTAAAAAGATTAAAGTTAATTGATCGAGTTGCATTAAGTATGAGATAAAAGTGAATGATTGGTTAAGATAAAATAAAATATGATAAATAAAACTAACGACAATAATTACTTCAATTAAACCGTTTGGGTAGTTGACAAAGCATAACATCAACAGGTCTTTAACCAATTAAAATTGTCATCTATTATTTTCTAACTATCGAGATGATACTAAACAAAAGACACTTGACCAAGCAATAAAGGTCAATAATCATATAAATCAGATTAAATGATATATTTATTCTGTGTATTTAAAAGCTAAATCAAAAGATGGGATAACTTTCATTGATTAATATTGTACAGGTTATTTATTTAGAAATACATGTATACAATAATGAAAAGGACTCCTTAACCCCTAATTCATAAATACCTCAGACAGTTTAGCCATTCCTATTGTTCGAGAGCCCGTCACGTGGCCGGTATTAAACGGATAATAAAGACATGGCTAGCTGGTCTTAAACACTTTTCCAGTGTCACAATAAAATGTGGACTCCTAAAAATCCAGTGCCTCTTATCGTTTCATTGGTTGAACTTTCACAATCCTCACGTAGGCATGCGCAACACTACCAGGGAGTTAGAATTTTATAGTTCTAAATTCAAAACGCAACGCGCCAGGTGCGTTCTGCGTGACATCGCGCAGAACATGTTACGCGCGCGTCAATCTCCATAAAAGGGTAGTTTTCATCTTACTCGCCAGCTGAACACTCCATTATTTTGCAGGGGGATAATTCAAAAAGCATAAAGTGAATTTGTTGAACAAAATCGGGATGTTTTGAACGAATTATATGATTTTTTCTTACCGAAAAGGTATTTATGAATGGGAATAAATATGTACTCCGTCGGTATTTATCACTCTGTTTAGTACCACTTAGAGTCTGGGTGCTGATAATTACCCTCGCCTCCGGCTCGGGTAATTATCAGCACCCAGACTCTAAGTGGTATTAAACAGAGTGATAAATACCGACGGAGTACATATTTATTCCCTTAGTCATGCTGTAATTCAAATTGACTTACTTGGTATTAAATGACCAAGAAATACATAAAATATATTTATTACCCCATGCGACAAGACAGCTGGTAAAGAAATCAGGCTTCGACAAGTAACAGAACTTTGTTAACGTTCGGCCAGAGCAGTTTAAAAATATATTTACTTGTGAACATAGCGCGCAAAATGATGTTCAATGCTACTAGTGAATAATATGTACTGAATCGCCCTATGTTTATTAAATTGAGCTAGCCACATATTTATATATTAATGCTTTCTCATTACATTTAGCTTTTAGGAGTCATGCTTCGAGAAATAGGTAATGCAATTATGTTGTCCTGGATTAACACTAATTTTCACCAAATTAAGGTTAGAATGTTGGAGAACGGATGCTTAATTTGTATAGTAATTAATGAAGCAAAATATAAAGTTCTCATATATTTACCCAAGAGTTGTTGTATAATTATGGATAATATATACATGTATATTAAACAAACTAATAATGTACCATTCACGAAATCACAGCATCGGCTGTTGACTTTGGCTTCATGTTTTGAGCTCCCAAATACTAGAGAAATTTGCTTGATCTGATTTTTCTTGGCCGCATATTCAAAGAATGGAATTTTACTATTATATATTTTACAGGGGCCATGATCAAATCGGGCATATGTGGAATATTGTGTTGATGATTATTTGTTCACGGTTCTGGATATGGAACCTTTTGCAATGTGGCATCGAAAAGGATTCATATTTTGTGAGACTTTTTTTTCTTTTAACAGAAAAGCACTGAAAAAGAGAGCAGTACCCACTTGTACCAAAAGGAACGTTAATCATTATACATTGTGAAGAAAGATTACAAATTATTAAGAAAGTTATGTGTTCTTGAGCAGAATGCCTTAGTTCCTGTTGTCGCTGGATGACCAACATCTGGCAGGCTATTCCATACTGGGACCATTGCAGGAATGAAGGAATTTGTATTTTTACCAAATTAAAAAAAAAAAAATGGTACTCTAGTCAGTACATTACTGTACAACACATGAGCTTCTTCTTGTAATGTGACAATTAGATCCATATTGGTTGGTGTAGGTGAGGGCTGATTTTGATGGAACAGTCCACGGTAGCGCACCTCTCTCATCTTCTCTGCGATAAATAAATATAGATTCCAGATCGTTGACTTGATTTAGCTGGTATGGCTTGTTAAACCCCTTCCATTGACTTCAACAACACTTCGCTTCAAGTTATACACTGTTATATTTTTCTTTAAAAAGATGTTTAAGCTTTAGGTTGTAATTCAAACACATTGTATGAGTTGAGGCCTATATCGTGCTCTACCAAGCACCGCCTGGCAGACGAGGATTTCAGCTTTGTTCGACTACTCACCATTCCACTCCAAGAACTCGCCCATCACCGAACTCACCTGGACACCCAGATCCGCAAACTCAAAACTGCAATCGCAAAGAACGAACCGCCACCATACTTGGCAAACAAACTGCGACCACCATGTTTAAAAGGAAGCTTAAACTAACACAAGCCCGAATTTCAAGCCAATTAGGACTGGATCAACAAAACACCAGCCATCACGCTCATCAAGCTAACGCTGCGAAATCTCCAACAACAGAAGTACACCAACCGGGCGAATCTCAAGACCAAGCAAGAACAAGCCATCGAACAAATCAAGGGGCATCTCATCGAGTACCAAGACATCGAAACGGCCTTGAAGATCTTCCACCACTTCCTTAGCAGGAAGCAACCAACGAAAGGACAAAAGAGAAAACGGTGAATAAATCACCAAGTCAACAAAGACACAAACGGCTCTTTTCTGAGCTACCACATGCTCAAAAAAGAGATTTAATCCGTGTCTGACTCTATAATCCCTATCACATTTATGGCAAATAGAAAACTAACCAAAAACTACAAGGCAAATAAAAACCTAGCTAAAACTAAAAGCTATACCCACCGCTACTGACAAAACCACCGAGTAAATAAAACCCAATCCCGAGCTACTTTGGTTAAAAACAAAAACGATTATACTGAGAACGTTTAATATTCAATTTATCATCCCCCTCCACATCAATGGGAATAGCCCTGCATGATTAAAGTTTTAAACTTTGTTCCCACTCCGGCCAAACCCACCCAATGCTCACTCATTGATAATATTAATCACTTTCAAAGACAAATGGAACTGCATACTTCATGCGAAACAAACCCCTCAAACATACAAAGTCCATTCAAACCTTTGTAAGGAGCTTTCCAAATTCTCCTTCCTACTGGAAGAACGAAATACAGTCCCTACAATCATATGTCAAACCATCATGGTTACTTTTATTATCATCATCGACGGGTTCACTCCCATTTACACCCAACGGTCACAAACCGAACTCTGGACTACCCCGATTCTTCGGAATCAATGCGGCTGATGAGTCCTGGATTGGACGAAAATGCATTCCTGCTCGCCCCAAAGGAAATGAAATATTTTCCTAATGTCCCTAACAATCCTTCACACCAAAGGATCAACCCACTATATAGGTCCCCCGAAAACATGTCGTTAATTTCCTAACCCAATCCTGACAGGCTGTTTCATGCTGGAATCATTGCCGGAATAAAGAAACTTGTATTATTACGAAATTATATTTTTTTTGAAATGGTAATCTAGTCTTCTCATTAGCGAACAACACGTGTGAGCTGCTTCTTGGAATCAATCAATTTTTGGGGCTGTCCATGGAATGCCATTATGAAGCTCTTGTGTCGTGTGAGAACCTCATATTACACACATACACTCAGATACAAAACTGAGATTTTGAATTTTTTTGTCAAGACTGAAACATTATTTTTACTGTCAGATTATGTTTTTAAACTGTGATGCTTTTTTTCTGAAATAATGATGGTGAGTTTTGTCCGTTTTCCTATGCAAATTTTCGTTCTTTCATAAAGGCAGAAAAACACCCTTGTTTCATTGTGATTGAACAGTAAATGATCATTGGTGGACAGCTGAATTTTGTGGTGTTTGTATTAAAATGTAAATAGCTTGTGAACATACGTACAGGGTGGTAAAAAAAAGGACACCCACTTTTGACAGCAATTGTCACCTACTTAATAAACTTATTTTAAATATTTTTTTTCACATAGTAGTTAAGTATAGGCCTTTAACCATGCATGGTGAAAAAAGCTTTGTAAAAGTCGCAAAAATAGTGATATATAATTTGAATACAAGTCACCAAATCAGTCTTGTCCACGGGTTATTCTATGTAAATTGGACGTTTTCGTAGTTTATAAAAAATTAAAAACCTTCCCACCATGACATATTCATGTCAGTGTTAAGATTATCTACTCAATGAGCTGTCGGCTTAAGTTCATTGTTGCATAACATTACATAACATAATAAAATGTCATGCCCTTTCAATTAAAGGTTTTTTTTTAAATAGGTGAAAATTGCTGTCAAATGTGGGTGTCCTTTTATTTGAACCACCCTGTAATACGCAAATCACGTGAAATGTTCACCGTTAGCCTACTAGTCAATAATATGTACCTAGGCGCTCTATGTAATTTTAATATATTAAATGAAGCGAGCAGCATATTTTTTTTAATATTTCTTTTTCTCATCAGGTCATTTTCTTTTTGACTCACCCTGTATGTACACAGTAGGCCTATTCACTTTGGTTTTGCTAACTATCACATGTTGCAAATGACAATATCTCCCGAAGACAAGCTGATGTTTGAACAAAATTGTTTGGGTTTTTGTTGTTGTTTTACTATATTATAGATAAAGGAATCATTGTTTGATCGTGTCAGTCATTGTGTTTTGGTATCAGAACACAGTCTGTATGGGGCAAAACCTTCATTTTGGTTTTGCTTGGGGTATGCTGCTAAAAGCTGAGTTCCATTGATTTCAATTCTTGGACGCCTTCTATATCACAGCGTCCTTTAGTCTTACAATACATATTTTGGGGAAAGGATATTAAACCTTGAAATCAGGACATCACGTGCATTTTGATTATTCTTAATGTTTCCTTTTCCATCGCAAAGTTCGTTGGGCAGACCCTTTATGGAAGGTTTAAAATTTAAAGAATGTTTTGATTCTGATCGCCCTCAATTGAGGTCAATAAAGAAATTCAAAACTTGTACCGTTATATTAGTTGTGAAGAGTTTTTGTCATGCCTCGATGATATGTCCAAGGTTACAAAGAGTCCAGTACTGAGAGAGAGAGAGCAATTCAGATTTGAGAGTAAACACTTTATTGATACAATTCCAAAATGGCGCGGCCCACTCTTTTCGACCCCAGAGGGCGCTATGCAAATAGAATGTGAACGCAACATTCGACAAAATAGTATAGGATCTAAGAAACCTCACATGTTCTGTGCAGTCTTACAATTCCGTCCAGGTTGTAGCTCGAGACTCGAGGTATAGGGGCTGGGGCCCAGTCAACGACCTATGAGCCTGCGCCTTTCAATTTTTTTTGCTCGTCCCCACAGCATCGCGCGCTCTAGTCAAAGACGCTGATGATACGAAACAGAGTTAGAGTCATAAAGATTGGAACATATATTTTGAGTAACGGAATGTTTTTCTGAAAATCGAACGTGTATTAAAATCTAAGACATTTTCTAACAGAATGCCATTTCGATACATCGAACATGTATTTTTATCAGCCGAATGCATTTTCCAAAACCGAATTTATTTTTACGAACCAAACATCTTTTCGATTCGAATGCATTTCTCAATAACCGAATGAAATTGTACAAACCTAACATGTCTATAAAAATGTGTTCAGTTTTGCAAAATGCACTTTGGTGGTGAAATTCATGTTCGATATGTTTCGAAATACATTGTTTAAAATGCATTGGATTTAAACACACGTTCGATTTTCAGAAACACATTCTGTTGTGTTCTGCTTCGTATAATTGTCCTGTCACAAAAAACTTATGAATGAAAAGTACGCCTAATATAGCATTGAAGGTAGGTCACTTGTATTGTACACTCAGCTGCAAGTTCATTCCCTGCGCATTATGGGTGGTCGCTCACGTACGAAAGGGATGACTAGTTAGGGCACGGGTTTTATAATAATGTATCCAATGAAAGCTCAACTAAATTAGAGGTTACGGAACTTTTTGTATCCCCTGCCTGTTTAAGAGCCATGGCGTAGTGAGAAGCAGACCCTGCAGGGGAAGCAAATGCTTTATTTAGAAAACAAATGCTATATTTAGAATAATGACGTATGGTGGTGCGCAATAATAATCGTCTGACAAACCCAGTCGGTATGCGCTTTGTTCACAGTACGACCTGACAGTCAGTGACGTTAGTCGGGGAAACAGGAGCACTCCATATCGTAAGGTAAAACGATTGGCGTTTTTTTTTCACTTTGTTTTGCCTCTGAAGGAAAAGCGGGTCTTTATCCGCGCCTTGCAAGAGAGGCAGTCGTTTTCAGTAGATGTTTTTTACCGCTCAACCATACGGAGTGGAACCTCTGAATACCGACATTTGCTTGGACTCTGTGGACTCTGAGCTTTTTTACGTTTCAGAGGTCATGTTTGAAACACGAGCAAGCATTAATGAATCACACCGACAGACAGACTGAATGATTAATTAATTAATCAATTGATTAATTGATTGAATTACAGAGAATCCAGAGACACTTTTTGTAACGATGACTACCTACGTGGCTGTGACTCAGCCTGTCGGCCAGCAGCAACTGGTAAGCCAGTCAGCAACTTTCCCAGAATACATCAGTTGCTCACTCACAGACTAATTCTGAACGTTCAGTAAACATGTAGTGACAAGGGAAATCAAATGGGCCCTATATATTGTGGGCTGAGTAAATCACGGTTTATATCAGTTAAAATATGTTTATTATATAAGCCATCACTCCCTTGAGGTAATCATGTTTTGAGATTTAGGGTGCCTTTACATTGTAATCAGGTATTCTGTCAGTTTTTCAACGCCGTCGCCATATTGCAATAGCTTGTACCAGTTTGTACAGGCAAGCTGTACACGACTGCTGGTCTTCATACATGACAACACACGCACAAAGAAAGTTTGTGTTTGGTATTTGCAATGTAATGTACGTATTGCTATTATTCATATGGTAATTTAAGCACGAAAAAAATAATAATTTTGTCTACCTCAAGGACATGTTCTGTGTCGCGGGAGTGTGTTGCGCGAGTTCACAAGGGGAAACACTATTGACTTTTTATTTGTTGGTTTTTTATTGCAATTATACGAAATATGTTTTTATGGTGTTGACTGTGTTAGGCCAAAAAAAGTCTCCGGTTTCTGGTATGGAGCTTGCCCCAAAAGTGGTGCTGCGACGCGGCTTTTTTTTTTCCTTGTTTTTTTTTTCTTCAAATGTCGGCTGATGACTGCAAATGGTGCCAGACTAAATTTAGTGCAAAATATATGGGAGTCCAGAGAGGCCACATAAAGTTTATACTCGATCGTAATCCCATCTAAAAACACGTTAAAATTGAGCAGCAGCAGGATTCCAGTCAAACCAGCGAGTTTGGCGGTTTTGAGACATCATCTTACATTGACAAAAAAACCAAACTTTTTCATATTGCCGACGCGCATGGCTACGGCGACGCGCGCGCATACCAGAAACCGGACTTTTTTTGGCCTTATACAAAATATCAGAAATTCCTTTTACTATCATCAACACTATCATAACACCCGTTTTTCACTCAACCCTTACCGTCCTGTATCAATCCCAAGGTGTCGATGCAACCAGCTCCCGTTACTTTCAGCACGGTGAACCCTCAGCCTCGAAGTGGTGCCTGGAAGGGTATTCTATGGACAGGAATAATTCAAGTGGTTTTGGGTTCCTTGACAACCATTCTGGGGATTGTCACCCTGACAGTATTTGGCCCTGTGTACCTGTATCTTGACGTCGGATCCCCAGTTTGGTGCGGAATCTTGGTAAATAATTTAAACAATATTCAATAAGTTTATGCCACTATAAGTCTTGTTTATTGGCAGCTGCTGATTGCTTTTTGTTGGGGTGTTTGTTGGTTTCGTTAGTGTTTCGTTTGTAGGGGTTGTTTGTGGGGTTGTTTGTTGGGCTCTTGGCTCGGTTGTTCATTTTGTTGGTTCTACTGCCTCATGATATCATACTGTTACTGAACTTTTTTTAGCATCGAAACTGTTGTTTATTTCGTTTACCTCTGTACACTGAGTCGTGTTCTGAAGGTTATGAAACAGAGGCTCGTCTGTTAACCGGAAGGTTTCGTCGTTCAATGAAAGAGGTTCACCCGATGCAATAGACACTGCTATTTTGTGTACACATAGAAGGCTAAAAGTTGTCTCCTCTCTAAAGGCAGGTGTCGGATGCCTTGCTAATGATGAAAGACGGCATGACTGAAAAATGAAACATTAATGAAATTGTCAAACCTTCAAGCACTATAACCTCAAATTAAAGGGGCGTCATTTTGTCCCTTTGTTGTACAGGGTAAGTCAAAAAATTGGAACCCAACCCCCCAAAATATATTTCACATCCAACAAAATATGTGGCACCAAAAATAGTAATGACTGGAAAGCCAAAATTATAAACTACTTTTAGATGAAAACATTACAGAGTTGCTCAATCCGTTCAAAGAATATCACTAATTAAACGCAATGACCCTAAAACCGGTTCCGTCCAAAAATATATGTATGAAGTGATTTCAGTACTGTGATTTCCTTCACAGCATGATGAAGGGAGTTCGATCCCAAACTAAATTAGGATAAGTGTGTTGGAACTTGGAGGCTATCTAGATGAATTACACAGCATCACCAGATTATAACTTCAAGTAATGGAGAATTTATTCAATCATCAGCAGCAGAATCAAGTTACAAGCATACATCAGCAAATCAGAGTACAAAAGATCCCGTATGGTAAAGATCAGGATGAAAAAGATCCAGTAAAGATCCCCAGGTGCAATAAATGAAGGTCTCAGTAGACCGCGCCTACATACTGCCACAGGTTCTGAACTTGAAGGCACCCACCTTCCCGCTCAGCACATGATTATGCTGACAAACAGCAAAGGAAAGGTGAAATCTCACCGAGAAATTCCCAGCTACAAAAATAGCTGACTGCCGTCCAAAAATTGGAAGACAAGCAGTGCCTGTTTTGCGCGCTCCCGCACGATGTGGACACACCACTACGCGTCTCTAAAATATTATTGCACCCTCCACAAAATGCTGTTACGGATTAATTACACCCGTAAATTATATGATATGCTCAAAGGAACTTTCACTTACACATAATATTGTAGCTCCTATGCAATCATAAGAAGAAAATGTAAAAGAAAACCTTCTAAAACTATGGACCTACTTGTTTTAAGAGTGAAGGGACATTGAGTTAACAAGTGCCACACTTGCATAGGTCACACGTAAACAACAACATAGGTCAATCTAAATATAACCCTGTATCCGGGGAGCCGGACAGTAGATGGAGGTTACGTGCCCCCACATATATATAATTGTTCTGACTATTTGGAACAACAAAGAAAATGATACAAATTTTTTTAAAAAGACGGGCCTCCAAAAGGACTTTGTTATTGTTTTTGTTACTTTTAAACTGAGACTTTATCGCTGGTGATGTTTGACGACGATCGTGACGGCGATTCTTGTTTTGAAATTGCAATGTTGGACGAAAGAGGTTTTAGGGTCATTGTGCTTAAATGGTGATATACTTTGAACGGATTGAGCAATTTCAGTAAATCTTTTCATCTAAAAGTAGAATATGAAAGTGGTTTTTCAGTCGGCTTTATTTTAAGTGCTACTTTTTTTTAATATGAAATATGTGTTTTTTGGAGTTTGTCTTTTTGACTCGCCCTCTGGTTTATTATATTTCGAAGGGCAATTTAAATTTAACCTTGATTTTTTTTCTACAGTTCTATGTAGTCGCTGGAATCTTGGGGACATTGTCTGGATGTAAGAAGAGTTCCGTTGTGGTAAGCCATTGTTAGTGGTTTGCCTCCATATTTGGCAGTGTGGGTTCGGGTGTTTCTTCCTTGAACGTCCAGGAAGGGAGGAGTTTATTTAAATCTTTAATAACAATAGGCATACCAAGGACAGAGATAAGTGGCGTGCCATGGGAGAGGCCTTTGCCCACATTCTGTTGTGTTCTGCTTCGTATAATTGTCCTGTCACAAAAAACTTATGAATGAAAAGTACGCCTAATATAGCATTGAAGGTAGGTCACTTGTATTGTACACTCAGCTGCAAGTTCATTCCCTGCGCATTATGGGTGGTCGCTCACGTACGAAAGGGATGACTAGTTAGGGCACGGGTTTTATAATAATGTATCCAATGAAAGCTCAACTAAATTAGAGGTTACGGAACTTTTTGTATCCCCTGCCTGTTTAAGAGCCATGGCGTAGTGAGAAGCAGACCCTGCAGGGGAAGCAAATGCTTTATTTAGAAAACAAATGCTATATTTAGAATAATGACGTATGGTGGTGCGCAATAATAATCGTCTGACAAACCCAGTCGGTATGCGCTTTGTTCACAGTACGACCTGACAGTCAGTGACGTTAGTCGGGGAAACAGGAGCACTCCATATCGTAAGGTAAAACGATTGGCGTTTTTTTTTCACTTTGTTTTGCCTCTGAAGGAAAAGCGGGTCTTTATCCGCGCCTTGCAAGAGAGGCAGTCGTTTTCAGTAGATGTTTTTTACCGCTCAACCATACGGAGTGGAACCTCTGAATACCGACATTTGCTTGGACTCTGTGGACTCTGAGCTTTTTTACGTTTCAGAGGTCATGTTTGAAACACGAGCAAGCATTAATGAATCACACCGACAGACAGACTGAATGATTAATTAATTAATCAATTGATTAATTGATTGAATTACAGAGAATCCAGAGACACTTTTTGTAACGATGACTACCTACGTGGCTGTGACTCAGCCTGTCGGCCAGCAGCAACTGGTAAGCCAGTCAGCAACTTTCCCAGAATACATCAGTTGCTCACTCACAGACTAATTCTGAACGTTCAGTAAACATGTAGTGACAAGGGAAATCAAATGGGCCCTATATATTGTGGGCTGAGTAAATCACGGTTTATATCAGTTAAAATATGTTTATTATATAAGCCATCACTCCCTTGAGGTAATCATGTTTTGAGATTTAGGGTGCCTTTACATTGTAATCAGGTATTCTGTCAGTTTTTCAACGCCGTCGCCATATTGCAATAGCTTGTACCAGTTTGTACAGGCAAGCTGTACACGACTGCTGGTCTTCATACATGACAACACACGCACAAAGAAAGTTTGTGTTTGGTATTTGCAATGTAATGTACGTATTGCTATTATTCATATGGTAATTTAAGCACGAAAAAAATAATAATTTTGTCTACCTCAAGGACATGTTCTGTGTCGCGGGAGTGTGTTGCGCGAGTTCACAAGGGGAAACACTATTGACTTTTTATTTGTTGGTTTTTTATTGCAATTATACGAAATATGTTTTTATGGTGTTGACTGTGTTAGGCCAAAAAAAGTCTCCGGTTTCTGGTATGGAGCTTGCCCCAAAAGTGGTGCTGCGACGCGGCTTTTTTTTTTCCTTGTTTTTTTTTTCTTCAAATGTCGGCTGATGACTGCAAATGGTGCCAGACTAAATTTAGTGCAAAATATATGGGAGTCCAGAGAGGCCACATAAAGTTTATACTCGATCGTAATCCCATCTAAAAACACGTTAAAATTGAGCAGCAGCAGGATTCCAGTCAAACCAGCGAGTTTGGCGGTTTTGAGACATCATCTTACATTGACAAAAAAACCAAACTTTTTCATATTGCCGACGCGCATGGCTACGGCGACGCGCGCGCATACCAGAAACCGGACTTTTTTTGGCCTTATACAAAATATCAGAAATTCCTTTTACTATCATCAACACTATCATAACACCCGTTTTTCACTCAACCCTTACCGTCCTGTATCAATCCCAAGGTGTCGATGCAACCAGCTCCCGTTACTTTCAGCACGGTGAACCCTCAGCCTCGAAGTGGTGCCTGGAAGGGTATTCTATGGACAGGAATAATTCAAGTGGTTTTGGGTTCCTTGACAACCATTCTGGGGATTGTCACCCTGACAGTATTTGGCCCTGTGTACCTGTATCTTGACGTCGGATCCCCAGTTTGGTGCGGAATCTTGGTAAATAATTTAAACAATATTCAATAAGTTTATGCCACTATAAGTCTTGTTTATTGGCAGCTGCTGATTGCTTTTTGTTGGGGTGTTTGTTGGTTTCGTTAGTGTTTCGTTTGTAGGGGTTGTTTGTGGGGTTGTTTGTTGGGCTCTTGGCTCGGTTGTTCATTTTGTTGGTTCTACTGCCTCATGATATCATACTGTTACTGAACTTTTTTTAGCATCGAAACTGTTGTTTATTTCGTTTACCTCTGTACACTGAGTCGTGTTCTGAAGGTTATGAAACAGAGGCTCGTCTGTTAACCGGAAGGTTTCGTCGTTCAATGAAAGAGGTTCACCCGATGCAATAGACACTGCTATTTTGTGTACACATAGAAGGCTAAAAGTTGTCTCCTCTCTAAAGGCAGGTGTCGGATGCCTTGCTAATGATGAAAGACGGCATGACTGAAAAATGAAACATTAATGAAATTGTCAAACCTTCAAGCACTATAACCTCAAATTAAAGGGGCGTCATTTTGTCCCTTTGTTGTACAGGGTAAGTCAAAAAATTGGAACCCAACCCCCCAAAATATATTTCACATCCAACAAAATATGTGGCACCAAAAATAGTAATGACTGGAAAGCCAAAATTATAAACTACTTTTAGATGAAAACATTACAGAGTTGCTCAATCCGTTCAAAGAATATCACTAATTAAACGCAATGACCCTAAAACCGGTTCCGTCCAAAAATATATGTATGAAGTGATTTCAGTACTGTGATTTCCTTCACAGCATGATGAAGGGAGTTCGATCCCAAACTAAATTAGGATAAGTGTGTTGGAACTTGGAGGCTATCTAGATGAATTACACAGCATCACCAGATTATAACTTCAAGTAATGGAGAATTTATTCAATCATCAGCAGCAGAATCAAGTTACAAGCATACATCAGCAAATCAGAGTACAAAAGATCCCGTATGGTAAAGATCAGGATGAAAAAGATCCAGTAAAGATCCCCAGGTGCAATAAATGAAGGTCTCAGTAGACCGCGCCTACATACTGCCACAGGTTCTGAACTTGAAGGCACCCACCTTCCCGCTCAGCACATGATTATGCTGACAAACAGCAAAGGAAAGGTGAAATCTCACCGAGAAATTCCCAGCTACAAAAATAGCTGACTGCCGTCCAAAAATTGGAAGACAAGCAGTGCCTGTTTTGCGCGCTCCCGCACGATGTGGACACACCACTACGCGTCTCTAAAATATTATTGCACCCTCCACAAAATGCTGTTACGGATTAATTACACCCGTAAATTATATGATATGCTCAAAGGAACTTTCACTTACACATAATATTGTAGCTCCTATGCAATCATAAGAAGAAAATGTAAAAGAAAACCTTCTAAAACTATGGACCTACTTGTTTTAAGAGTGAAGGGACATTGAGTTAACAAGTGCCACACTTGCATAGGTCACACGTAAACAACAACATAGGTCAATCTAAATATAACCCTGTATCCGGGGAGCCGGACAGTAGATGGAGGTTACGTGCCCCCACATATATATAATTGTTCTGACTATTTGGAACAACAAAGAAAATGATACAAATTTTTTTAAAAAGACGGGCCTCCAAAAGGACTTTGTTATTGTTTTTGTTACTTTTAAACTGAGACTTTATCGCTGGTGATGTTTGACGACGATCGTGACGGCGATTCTTGTTTTGAAATTGCAATGTTGGACGAAAGAGGTTTTAGGGTCATTGTGCTTAAATGGTGATATACTTTGAACGGATTGAGCAATTTCAGTAAATCTTTTCATCTAAAAGTAGAATATGAAAGTGGTTTTTCAGTCGGCTTTATTTTAAGTGCTACTTTTTTTTAAATATGAAATATGTGTTTTTTGGAGTTTGTCTTTTTGACTCGCCCTCTGGTTTATTATATTTCGAAGGGCAATTTAAATTTAACCTTGATTTTTTTTCTACAGTTCTATGTAGTCGCTGGAATCTTGGGGACATTGTCTGGATGTAAGAAGAGTTCCGTTGTGGTAAGCCATTGTTAGTGGTTTGCCTCCATATTTGGCAGTGTGGGTTCGGGTGTTTCTTCCTTGAACGTCCAGGAAGGGAGGAGTTTATTTAAATCTTTAATAACAATAGGCATACCAAGGACAGAGATAAGTGGCGTGCCATGGGAGAGGCCTTTGCCCAGCAGTGGGATGAATCAAGATGATGATGATGATGATGATGATAATGAAATTATGGCTTATCCAAGGGCCACTTAAGTTAATGTACATATGCATGTCGAATTACAGCTATAGACAAACAAATTTTCCAAATATTTTTTTTAAAAGTGTGATTTTTTTTTTCTGCACAGGCTATCGGCTACATGGTTATGTCCATCTTGGCTTGTCTGGCTGCGTGCTGCGTCATTAGTTTTGGTGCTTACATGATGGCATTCGTCAGTTCATGCCATCCTGGGGTTACGTTCTTGACTGACCTCTGTGATTTGAAGGTTGGTAGAACGCAATTCTTTCTATTAAGAAGTCATTTAAGAGGATTATCATTAAAATAGAAACTTGCGCATGTGGTGCCTGTTTTTAAACGCGGAGAGATAGCTGCAATGTCAAGAAAACGGAAGTCATGTGCTTTAACACACTGGGGATGTGAACATCAACACCAAGGGCGGCACTACCCTAGCTGTGAGAGAAGACTTCATATGCCAGGGCCCCCACATCAGCTCAACAGACAAGGACGGTAAGGAAAGCACAGGCTTGGAAGGCTTGCCAAAAACCTCAAGAAGATCTGGAGGTCTATGATGCCGGATAAACTCAAACGAGCTCTATTCCGTGCATCCGTGGAGTCCATCCTACTCTACGGCTCTGAGGCATGGACTCTTATTACAAAGCAAGAGGCTCGACTCGGTGGTTCCTGTATACACTCGCATGCTGAGGATGGCTCTAGACGTGAGTTGGAGAGACAAAGTCGGGAATGAGGTGCTCTATGGCAACCTGCCAAGGATCTCTACAACTATCAGAACTAGGCAACTGCGATTGGCTGGTCACTGCGTTCGGCATCCAGAGATAGCTGCAAGCCAACTCATTTTATGGGAACCCACTCATGGAGCAACCTTTCGAGGTGGACGGGGTCTACCCGATTTTCCCCAATTCCTATGTTCCCTAATACCGATGGTCCCCCAAATCCTTAGGGTTAGGGTTACGGCTAGGGTTAGGTTTATACATTTTGGGGAACATAGGTATGCACCCCGCAGTCTGGCTACATGTTCGTTCAGGTGTACAACAAGGATCGATCGTTGGTGCACTATACTCTTTGTTCTGTGTACTAATGATCTCAATCTTCATCTTTCGTCTCATCTTGTGCAATACGCATCAGACGATACATTCCTGTTTGGACATTTTTTTTTCTTCACGTCCTTAGTTCATGTTATCACAATTTTTAATTTTAAAAGATGCAAATTAAGATTAAAATAAAAAAAAAACTTGTTCCTGCCTTCGTCAATTACGAAGGGTTGTACTTTTTTTTTTTACAGCTATTCGTTTGTTAACGAATCCTTCACCGTAGATTTTACTCTTGAGATACTAGACTAATTATTGAGAGTCAGGTTAACACTGCTTAATATTTGAAATCAAAAGAAAACAGCGATTTGTGATTCAAAGAATTAACACAGTTCAAACTAACCTAGATATTAACAAAGGGAAAATAACGTGCTGCAAAGATATGCAGGCTTCAGGTTATATTTAAAATATGTGTTGAAGTGTGGGATACTCTTAGTGAATATGATGTAACTAATGCGTATCTCTTGCAATGATTCTATGCAGGCGGCTGTCAATGGTGTTTATGGTACACTGATAATTCTCGCCTTAGCGGAGTTTGTTGTCGCCATCGTCGGTGCTAGCATGACATGCGGTCCACTCTGCAATGGTGGATCAACAACTCAGACAGTGGTGCGTACCATGATGTTGTGACAACAAGTATAATCAGCGGGGCGGAACTTTTTTAAAACTGGGTGCATCACCAAAAGGGGCACTTGCTCAGCAAAACTGCATCTTCCGTCGTTTATTTGTTTGTTTTATTTTTTTAATGGGGGGGGGGGGGGCACATGCTAAAATGTCGACATTTTTTTTCACCGGACACTTGGCCTCCGTAAAATCAAATAGTGGGAGGGGGTGGGGACTGATACCATCTTCCAAAATAGGGCACATTCATGTCCGTTAGAGGGGCACTTGGCCCTGCCCCCCGGTTCCGCCGCCCCCTGAGTATAATATCCTCTGTATCTGCATTGTTTTGAATCTGCAGCAGTTTCAGTTAATCACCCCTCTATCAAGATCGAGTAAATACCTCAAAAGTCAAATTAAAAAAAACGCAAAAAAATAGTTAGTGGCCTGACGTTTCGACCCTAGCAGAGTCTTTCACGCACGTTAGCAAAATCGTGCAATAGTAGGCACTTCATTAGACGATGATATATTTGAAGAATGTATTTTTTCTTGATGATAACAGATCCAATACCAAGAAAGACTCTGCTAGGGTCGAAACGTCAGGCCACTAACTATTTTTTTGCATTTATACCATAGGTCCTTTTGGTTGGTAAGCAGTTTGCAACAGCTAATTCTATTTTTCAAGTCAAATTTATGAGTAAGGGGAAAGGAAAGGCCTTTGTCACAAATAGCTTACTGTGAGTTGACGTGAGACATGCCTTGTGATATAGCTTGTCAAGGACGTGTGACGGCTCGTGACGTACAAACGGAGAAATAGACTAAGCCAGTGGCTAGTGAACAAGTTCTGTGTCATTTTCTTTAATTAATGTTACAGGCTAAAATAAACATTCAGATATTAAAGTAAATGACCCATATATTTGCTTGGGAATCAAGAATTGGTCATTAGTAGAGAACAAGAAGTGAAATATTTAAATAATAGTTGTTAAACAAACGTGTTTCGGATTGTTAAAAGAGTTTTCGCGGTAAATTTTTGTTTCTTCAGTCGTGCAATAGTAGGCACTTTATTAGACGATGATATATTTGAAGAGAGTTTCCAATGAAATGTATTTTTTCTTGATGATAACAGATCCAATACCAAGCTGTTCCACACGTGGTGGCTGCTCCTCAGCCCCAGGGTCCGGTCTTGTACAACATACCCACTGGCCAGCCACAAGTTGGTAAGAGAAACATCTAGATGTCAGTTTTGAATATTTGAAAGCACAGTAATACTGATCAGATATTAAAGTAAGAGGCTTTTGGTCTCTTCAGTGCAACATTTTTCCTCGTTTTAAAATTTTTCACAATATCAACCTGGGGTAAGCTGTTTTCCCCTTAGTGTTAATAGAGTGCAAACCACCCTAATCTGGTCGTCTCATCATTAAAACATAATTCGTCCATGTCCCCCTTGTTTTTGGTTCAATGCATAGCCTACCCAGCCCAGCAGGTGCAGTACCCACAGGCTCAAGCGCCCCCAACCGGTGCAAGCAACAGTGCAAGGATCTCATTCAGTAGATCATAAATGACCTTTGACCTGACGCATTCATGATATTCGGGGCTGGACTTGCTCATATTTAGCTGCACGTGGATGCACGTGTACATGATGGAAAATGTGTTGCACTTTCAATGGTCATGCACATCAAATGAAAGTTGGAGTTGCATCATTTCTGTATAAAGTGCCGGTTAGTAAATGAAGACTAGTATAAAGGTGTTCATATATTTACTCAAAAGCTGTTGTTACATTACGGCAGTGTATACATTTATAATAAAATTTACTAATACATTGTAATGTTCCATTCCCGAAATCACGGTCTCGGCTGTAGACACTTGGCTACATGTTTCGAGTTCCCAAAGCCAAGGTTTGGGTGATTGGATTGATTTTTTTTTTCAGTCGCATCAAAAAAGTTGAAAGCCATAACCAAAGTCTTTGTGTTTAATTTGTGCATTCGAGACTTGCCCACGAGCTAAAGCCCAAACCATATATAGTTGGCACTTTAATATTAAATAAAGGTGATGCCCTCGAACAAGGGTACCAGAAACATAATGAAGGAAGTAGTTTGGTGTTTGTTGGTGCTGTTTGAGATGAGTCTTAAAAAAAACCCAACTTACTATGGTATTAGAGGTGTTCGACTTTATGTATGACTTGGCAGAACTTTACATAGGCCTAATTATAACATATAAACTTATACTCTGTACAGCACTTAAAGAATGACTTGCTACCTTGAATTTGACACCCCCCCCCCCAAAAAAAAGAACCATACAGTAGACGGTTCAGAAGGCCTAATTTTCCTGTACAAACCCCGTGAGATTCCATCCCCTCTCTCAAAACATTCGGTTCCAGAATTCTGACTTGATTAAGCTGACCGGTCTGGTTGATCCCTCTCCTAATACCGACTTAATCCGAATGGGCGTTCTTTTCAGAACGATCAACGTACTTGAGAAAAGAAAAAGTTAAGCCTATTATTATGCAATACCTCGGTGATAGATTTTACATTATGAATGTTTTCGAATAGTTAAATTGTGCTTTGGGATATAAATCAGTCACATTACTTTTACGAATCTAGATCGTGCTCAGTAACTATCGGTGTCAGTGACTATTCACATTTGTCTATCATATGTACACGTGTATACTCACTTTGGTGTTGCTATTTGTATCCATGAGCTAATGACAATAATTATCTCCCAAGGTAGAGCTGATTGTTGACCAGAATTTTAAAATGTTATCCTACACTGTTTGCAACAGAACTGCCGTAAGGGCTGAACATTTAGTTATAATTATTTTATGCTGCTAAAACGTATTCCCATTTCAGGGATGCTTTCTATACAACAACGTCCTTAAGTGTTAAAAAAACCACATTTGGAAAAGGGATTAAAACTAGAAATAGTCAGGATATCACGTTCATTTGTCTTTAAACTTAATGGATTTTTTGGTAATAGTAAAGTTCGTAGTGCAGACCTTATTATGAAACATTTAAAATAAAGAGAATGCTTGAATTTCCATTTGCCTCAACGGGTTTTTTTTTTTGGGGGGGGGGGGGATGCGTGCACTGGGAATTTGTTTGGGCACGTTCCCCCGGCTCCGAGCACACACCCGGCTACTCGGTCATGAATAAAAACTGGTGAAGGAAACGAAGGCGTCGAAGAGTATTGCGGTTAAGTCACTTGAAATAGGCCGACACAATTAACTGTGTGCATTTCTTGCGCATGGTTGACGATTGGTGCGCTCACGGAAGTGTAGTTCGTGTACTCACATTGGGTCACGGGTTTTGCAATAATGTATCCAATGAATTCTCGTACACAGTCGAGGGAAAAGGCCTTTCATGATCACTGTGGAGTCGATGTACTTTTAAAGCCACTAAGTGAATGCTTTATTTAGAATATGACGAAGTGGTGCGCAATAATTTTGTTTGACAAACCACTTCGTCATATATGGATGGGGATGATAGGACACTGGGTAGCTTTTTGCACAGCGCTCGATGAAACTCTATGACGTCACCAAATTGGTCTATGGGGAAGGGCGCCCCTAGCGTTGGGTAAGTAAACGCGTGCGGGGCTACGGAGAATCAAAACAAGAATTATATTACATTCATTGCATGTAAAATGCAAGAGGGACTTTCATTGATGATTTTCAAGAGATTACGAAATGAAGAGACGTAAAAAGACAAATTAATGAACGAATAAACAAATAAAGTGCGAACAAAAGTTGACGTGTCAATGACATAGTAACATGCTGAGATTTTTTTAGCAATGTTTATCGAGAGAATACAATCAGTAATTCACAGGAGAGGAGACGGGGCAATGCAAACAATTATAAGGACTCAAGCGGCGGTATTCTTTAAGAGTTGAAAACTTTCCAAAAGTGGTTCAAATACGTGGAAACCAGATTCAAATGACGAGACATTAATTCTAAACAGGCAGGCCAAGATTTTATGCATTCGATATCAATAGAAAATATGGGGAATTGAATACAAAAAGAAAATCGCCTTAAAGTTTGTTTTCACCACAAGAATTATCTCGAGAGTAGTCAGTTAAAATGATAAAGTAACAGTCAAGTTGGACTTAAGTAAAACTTGAACGATTTAATGAACTTAAAACGAAGCATCTGAAAAAATACGTTAATCAAACGTGTTCTCCCAGGAATTTCTATCTTGTTTTTGCTTTTCCGGGGTCAAATTGACCCTGATATGAGTTTATATATGCACAGTCCGTTTCAGGGTAAAAAAAATACGCTTTTCTAGGTCAAAATGATCCAGAAGAATGCCATTTTTGACCCGGAAAAGGTTCTTTTTGACCAGAAAAGGGTAAATTTTGACCCGGAAAATGGTTGTGCAGATATAGACGCAGATTCTGGGTCAATTTTGACCAGGGAGTTTTTACAGTGTAGTAGGCCTACTCATTACTGGTACTTCAGATGGTCAATTACAAAATAAGACTTTCCAAGTAATTTTGTTCTGAAAAATATTCCACATTTTAAATAATCAGTTTCAATTAAGAACCCATTATAACGAACAGAATGCTTGTCTTGTTCTTTTTCAACAATAAGAACAACAATCATTAATAACTATCCTTTATTAAAGAACGCTTTATACATGTCACAAGGAAATCCCAAATTCGGTACAATAAACACGCACAAATTCTTAGAAACATACACACAAAAAAGTCATAAACAAAAAACATTAATGAACAAATGAACAATGAATTAATTAGCAAACTAATGTACTGTTTTCTTAAAATTTCAACACTCGTGCCTTTAATGCTTCGGCGATGAGGTCCGGCGAGCCCCGGAAAATATTCGATTCTAGATGCTGTGCGGTGCGATCTGAGGCAATTTCCGACCACTTGAACCGATTTCGCTTTAAGCAAAAGATCATCATTTATACATTTTTTTCGAGTGTGGGGTCATTGAGTTAGCTATTTTGAGCTACAGAAAGAAGTATGGGCTACAAGTTTTATTTGTGGACGAAAAAAGTGCGGGGGGGGGCGAACGATATGATATCCCTCACACTTTACTGTACACTGTCTCATCAAATGAGCTTCTTAAGCATTTGCCCCTGACGCAGCTGATGAGTGCTACTAAATCAGGGAATAAACCGATTTGTAATGTTACATATCACCATTATTTAAATGAAAAGGGGAAGGGGGATTGGTGGCATTGCCCAACTTACTTGCACACCTCACGTTGAATTACTGGAGCAAATCTACTTGAAACCTACCAGTAACGTGATGGCGCCCTTCCACACGAAAAGCTCCTTCCTGTTTCAATTTTTTTCAGCGGAGTGTCTTATCGTCCCCATTACGATCTATGAACAAACCCAGTCTGTATGCACTGTGTGTATAGGACCACAGCGCCGTATCAGTCAGTGACGCCGTTTGAGGAAACAGGAACACCCCATCCAGCGTAAGGTAAAACGATTGCGTATTTTTTCCTTAAAGAAACTATTAATTTGCCCTATAATTTATATTACGAATACTACAACAAGAAAAGCAAGTCCTTATTCGCGCCTTGAGAGAGAGACAGGGGGGGGGGAGCAATAGAGAGGGGGAAGATGTTTTTCAAGTAGATGTCCCATGGAGCATTTGTCAAACTATGCGAACTGGAAAAATCAGAAGTATAAATGTGTTGCTCAGACCTCATCTCACTTGTATAAAATATGTAAAAATATGGCTGAATCGGACCGATGGACCGACTGACTAATTATGGATTAATTGATTGGATTAACAGAGACTCCAGAGATACTTTCTGTCACGATGATGACCTCTACCAACGCCCCACCTGCCTACGTGGCTGCGCCTCAGCCCGTCGGCCAGCAACAACTGGTAAGTCCGTGAACTATCCCGGAATTAGACTCTTCAGTTTTGGCTAAAATGAAATTAAGACTATTGCAGCAGACTGGGTAATAGCTGCTCATTTCTATGATTGCTTTATTGACAGTTGCATCTGTGAGAATATCTGTAATTTAGAAATCGATGGTGATTTTACTTTCTGTTTGCTCGGGTTGGGTAAAAGATTCTGTCAATGCACCGTCGCCATTTTGCCTACCTTGTACCAGTTTGTACAGGCCAACTGAACAGGACTGGCTTTCACACTTGACTACACACGCACAAATAAAGTTTACTGCTGGTATTTGCAATGTCATGTGCGTAGTGCCTTTATTCATATGGTAATGTCGAATGAGAAAGAACATCATATTTACCTCTAGGACACGTTCTGTACTTGTACGCCTGTCGAGTACAAGGCAAATTATTATCCCGTACCGGTAGTTGTTGGTGTTCGTAATTTGTTGGGGTTAGGCCTACATTGCGTCAATTATTCAAAATATGCCATTATGGCGTTGAGTTTGATCTACAAAGTATCACAAATTAATTTCATCTTCTTCATCACTTCTCACTATCATGATAATAAATGCCTAGCATATTGGACTAAGAACTGGAAGGGGTTTAGCAAAAAAAAATCGGGAACAAATCCCCTTATGGTCCATAGCATAGTATCATCGACCTTGATCACAGAATGGCAAGTCTTAAGCTTCGCTAGATCAGACCGAGGCTCATTGTCGCCATGCCAAATGGGGCCAATTTTACATTTACTTAACATTGTGACAAGCAGAACGAATTCAGTTTCGTTCGACAGCTTGGCACTTGAAGATAATTAGAATATAATTGATGAGTGATGTTAGATCAGAGTAATTAACTAAAGCGGGAAGGGGGCGGGCTTGCACCTTTATAAATTGTGTCAAGTTTCCCTGACGGGTTTGCTGATGTCTTGCAGTTACATTTTTTTTGAAAAAAAGGGCAAACCTTACCTTCATCGAAAAATGTATATTTTCCAAAACAGGTGTTTAATTTTTTTTAGACAACTTTTTTTTTTGTGTGAAATTTTGAAAAGAAAAAAGAAAAAGCAAACTCTTTACCGGTTACCGTTTTTGAAATTAAAAAAAGGAAAAGCAAACCTTTTACCAGTTACCGTTTTTTTAATTTAAAAAACCCAGCAAACCCACCCTTCACCAGTTACCGTTTTAAAATCTTAAAAAGGAAAAAGGAAAAGCAAACCATTTACCGTACACCCTTTTTTGAATTTTAAAAAGAAAAGCAGGAAAAGCAAAGCCTTTACCGTACACCGTTTTGGGGTCTGTTTTCGAAAAAGGGACAACGCATCGAGTTACAGCATTCCATTTTTGATGCGTATTCCTAAAAACAAAATAAAAAAAAATCTTTTTCCTTGTATACAGATAAAAAATAATCACAGCACACTCGTATTTGTTTCATTTTATTTTACTAAAACATAAACAACTAAAAACTACGACAATTTGTTTTGCCAACGCTATAAAGAAAAAAAGGGTAATTGGAAAAGGAAAAACGAAACCTAATACTAGTTTCAGCCCAACGAAACCCGAGTGCGGCCAAGTTCGTCAGAAAGTGTCTCGCTGCTGTTTCCGGGGATAAACAAATTGTCCTCGGGGCGTGGCGGGAGACCCACGATCGATAATGTACATTTACATAAAAGTGTGCATAAGAGTGCCGACAAACAGATCGAATTATGATTTCACTTCACTCTAAGGCCAAAAAAAAATAGTCTGTTTCTGGTCAGACCGAAGTTCCGGAATTGATGAGGCGACGCGGTTTTTTTGTTGGGGGGGGGTATTTTTTTGTTGCTCTTCAAGCTTGAATTGTACAGTGAAGGTGGGTACTATTTTGTTTTTTTGTGTCCTCATTACACATTGGTGTCCTTCATAATTTGCCTTGGTGCCCTTTATCATTTGCCTTGGGGCAATTTCCTCACTCTTTGGTGCTCCTTGGTACAAAAATTTGAGGATTTGCGGCAATAGAGGGCGTTGTTGTAGCTTCTGGGTTAATTTGAAGGGGGATAAAGGTTGACGCGCATGATTAACACCGACGCGCGTGTCGACTAGAGACTGAGTATTTTTTTTTTGCCTTAAGATACTTTTTTATTTTCTACAACTGCCAAGGCATCAATAAAAACTGGTTTTATTTTCTCCTCCTTAATGTTGTAGTACATGTGAAGTTTCAATTCGATGTGTTAGTCGGCACTCTCTGAGGCCTACCTGTTTTTGAAAATGGACAGTTTGCAACAGTTGCGTCGCCCCCCCCCCATTCCCCCCCCCCCCCACTGAAATTTTGAGTTAAAAAAAAAATATCATTGATCTAAATCTAAATAGTCGCGAATGATTCACATGATGACCACTGAGAAACGACCCTTCGACCGGCGACCGCGGACCAGTAAGCTGACAACCGGCGTGACATAGTGCATAATGATAATCTAAAATGCGTATTAACACCCACTGCACTGCTCGCTCACACCATGAAACACGTATTATAGACAGGTGGTCCGTGGGCCACACAGTTTCAGTCAGCGATACCTCGCGATTCGGCCACGCACAAACTTTTTCCTCCATTCATATAAGCTAAATAATAATAATAGACCAATCAAAATTCCTTGAAATCAGTGGCGTAGCCACGGGGGGCGTCAGCCCCCCCCCCCCATGAAACCTTGTCGCCCCCTCCTAGTCGCCACCCCCCCCCCCCCCCCCCCACTGAGATTTTGAGTTTCTGAAAAACATTATCATTGATCTACATGACGCCATGGGCGTCCATCCTGGGGGGGGGGGGGGACAGGGGGACTAGTGTTCCCCCCCCCCCCACTTTTTGAAGGGTGGGGACACAATATCAAATGTCCGCCCCCCCCCCAGATTTTTGAACTCGTGTCTCATTTACAGGGCCCTATTATGTACTACAATGTATCTTTTGCTTAAAAAATATTGGTTAAAGTGGTCACAAATTGCCTCAGATAGCACCACAGAGCATTTAGAATCCAAAATGTTTTCGAGGCCCTTACCCCACGCCTATAGCTCAGAATTCTGGTAGCTGATTCAATGACTCCAACCTCGAAAACAATGTTCAACACATTTTCTTATACCTTTAGCTAAAAAAAACCTCGAAAATTATGTTTAAATAATTATCTTTTGTGCTAAGATAATTATTGGTTAAAGTGGTAAGAAATTGCCTCAGATCACACCACAGAGCATCGAGAATCCAATTTTTTTAGGGCCCTTAAGCGGGACCCAAAACCCACGCCTATAGCTCAGAATACCGATAGCTGATTCAATGACTCCGTCCTCGAAAACGATGTTCAAATAATTATCTTTTGCTAAGAAAATATTAGTTAAAGCATGGAGGAAAGTGGTAAGAAATTACTTCAGATCACACTACAAAACATCTCAGAATCCATTTTTTTCGGGGCCCATAAGCGGGCCCCGAACCCCCACGCCATGGGCTTCGCGCTTCGCGCTCGCATCAGTTCTAATCAAAGTATGTCCCCCCCCCCACTTTTGAGAAGCGATTGACGCCTCTACATGACGCCCCCCCCCCCCATGAAATGTTTCAGCCCCCTCCCCCAGCCCCCCCCCCCCTGAAAAATCCTGGCTACGCCAGTGGTTTGCAACAAAGGATAGTGTGCCCTGTTTTCATAAAATTGGTGTCAAAATAAATGCAAGACATCAGCAAACATGTCAGGGAAACTCGGCACGATTTAAAAAGTGCATTGTGACGATATCAGCGACAATGTACATGAAGGGCGGTGGTGGCCCCGCCCCTCCGCCTTTTTTGCGCCACTTTTCAGTTAAATTCTGATCTAAAATCACGCTTCTGTTATATTTCCATTATCTACAAGCGCCAAGCTATTGATTAAACGTAAAATTGGCCCAATTTGGCTTGGCGAAACTGGCCATTCTGTCATCAGGGTTGATGATACTATGCTAAGGCCAACAAAAAAGTCTCCGGTTTCTGGTATGCGCGCGCGTCGCAGTAGCCATGCGCGTCGGCAAAATGGAAAATAGTCTGGTTCCCAGACCTGACAATGATACCCGACGCTCACGTCTTACATTGTAGGTCAGGCAGCCTCCGTGGCTAAAAATAAACATGACGACATTAATGGCCCTTTTTCAAAGCGCGGCTTCGTTTCCGATTTCGCTTTATCACTTATAGCTTTAAATGTTCTGATCAAATCTTTGAATAAATCACTTGCTTCGGAATGTCATACAGTTATGATAATACAGTTTGATGTTTTTGTAAGATAACATTGAGTAATGTTGATCTGGAATCTTCAAAATTAGGGAACCAAATAGCACTGTTAGAAGGCGGAGCCGAATGAAGTCCGAGTTTTGGAAAATCTCGGTAACGGTCGTCAAATTCAAAATTGTACATGACGCAGCAAAAAGTTCGCCCGTACGATCCGAGTATATTTGATACACAAAATCGTCGTTGAATTTCACGTTTTCTAAATGAAAACAATGAATATTAAATATCAACTCATTTAAAATAACATTAATAAGCAATTAGCAGTTAATTAAACCTATTTTATATACTCGGAAATACTCGGGCGCTATCCGATTGTCGACGAAACAACTTCGGCAAACTTCGGATATTTTCGGAAAAAGGAGGAATTCCTCCCGTTTTAGTCGCGTGACGCAAATTGTAATACATTGTATTACCGGAGGCTACCTGAACTAAGATTCATTAGGAATAGTCGGAATCTTTTGGTCTGGGAACCAGACTAAATGGAAAAGTTTTTTTTTTTTTCAATGAAAGATGATGTCTCAAAGCCAATTCCCTGGTTTGACTGGAATCCTGCTGCTGCACAATTTTAACGTTTTAGATGGGGTTATGATCGAGAATAAGCTAAATGTGGCCTCTCTGGACTCCCATTTTGCACTAAGTCTAGTCGGGCACCATTTGCAGTCATCAGCCGACATTTTGAGGCAAAAAAATTCAGGTAAAAAAAAAGCTGCGTCGCAGCACCACTTTTGGGGCAAGCTCCTGACCAGAAACCGGAGACTTATTTGTTTTGGCCTAAAGACCATAAGGTGTTTTTTTTAAAACCCAAACCAGCTCTCAGTCTTTATCATTGACACTCGACCCGAACAATTCCGTATCATGTCATTCACCAGGTGACCGTGCAACCCGCTCCCGTTACTATCAGCACGGCCAACCCACAGCCTCGAAGTGGTAACTGGAAGGGCATTCTGTGGACAGGAATAATTCAAGTAGTTTTGGGTTCCTTGACCGTCATTCTGGGGATTGTCACCCTTTCAGCATTTAACCTTGTGGACTATAACAGTAACAGTGTGTTCTATAGCAGGAGCAGCAGTGATATCGGATCCCCAATTTGGTGTGGTATCGTAGTAAGTATGAAACAATTGTTTGGTCTTTTAGCTAGGTGCAGTCGTTAGATAAGGAAGGAGTTGTGTGGAGAGGGGAGAATGAATAGGGCGGAATATTTCCACCTCACAAAATTTATTTCTCATTGAAAAAAAACCTTTTTACGAGGTTTACGGGTTTTTTTACGTGTAAAATGATACGTTATGATTAACAATTGACACTTCCATTTTGTGTCCACATAGAAAACTAAAGTTTTCCAGTATGTTGTCAATGATCAAGTGGTTGGATTCGTATATACATCTGCTGCACATGTACATTCAAAATGAAGCATGTAGCCTTCCTTAAATGTCAGCCTTGAATGTTTTTACAGTTCTACGGCTTCGCTGGAATCTGTGGAATAGTGTCTGGATCTACGAAGAATTCTGGATCGGTAAGCCATTGTAACGGGTTTCTTTAATACTCGGCAGTATAATGGTGCTCAGTTGTTGCTTCGGATCCTTGGAGTGGAAAATGTTCAAAATGGGAAGAGTAACCAATAAGTAGAATCCTACTATGTTATTTGCAGATAACTATGGCCTGAACATTTTTTAAAGAGTTTGAATAAATTGTGTTTTTTTTTCTGCACAGGCTATCGGCTACATGGTCATGTCCATCTTGGCTTGTTTGGCGACGTGCTGCGTCATTGGTTTTGGTGCTGCCAGGATGGCATTCATCAATGAACAATGCTATCCGCGTTATACGCGTTATCGTTATAATTATTATGGCCGCGTCGTGACCGTCTATGACAATCCTCCTTCATACTGTGATTTGAAAGTGAGTAGAACTTTAACCTCCTTATAATGAAAAACGTATTCTTGTTACTGCCTCAGGGGGTTTCTATCTTCTTCTTCTTTTTAACACCTATATAGGTGTTTGGCCTTCAGCCCAACATTGTAAGAATTTACCATTCTTCTCATTTGTATTCTTCATGACAAATTCTTCTCCAGAACTGTTTGTCAAAATGAAAACATATATGAACTATCGATTCAATTCAATTCAACTGCATATTTATTTCCATGCTTCATGAAAAAAATATATAGAAAACTTTAGAGAAAAGGGTTAAACCATAAAGCAGTAAATATCAAATTAACAGCAAAATAAAAGAAGTTACTAGAGCATCGGGCTGTTTTAATAAGCAGAAGCTTGTGGAAAACAGCCGACAGAAAAAAACACAGGACAAACAAACAATCAAACACCCCAACAAACAATCAAAGACATTACAATACGTAAGCTGGCACGAGACAAGGAACATATAATAATAAAATGAAAAGATGGCAAAAGGCTGTTTGAGCAAAAAAGACAAAAAAAAACAACAACAAAAATAACATGTGAGGAATACAGAAACGCAGTAGACTTAATCAGGAGAGAAGGCTACGATGCATAATGGGATTTGGCTATATATAGCACAGGTAACATAGCTCTTGAGATTTCTGGTAATGACGTCACGATGACGTCATCAAGTATCATTTTACAAGCTAGCAAATATTTCTAGATTTAATCTCTCAAAATCAATATGAAAATCAACTGTTAAAGATTTAATTTTGTTTTTATGACAATCGATACAATATTGTGGGGTCGTCATTTTTTTGTATTAAGTGCAAAATCAGATAACTCTTCCTTCCGGTCGAAACCGGAAGTGCCTGATAATTTAAAATTGATGTGAACTTGCTTTCAACGATGTGAGTCTCTGCTTAGGCTGTACTTTACAAAAATATTACAGGTGACGTCATCAAATGTTGGAGCACCCTCTAGCGGCATGTTGAAAAAGTCGAATTTTGTTTTTTGAGCTGATGTGTTCGGCGAAGTTTGTGGTAATTGCTACAAACATGATAGCCCAACACCGTGTGGTTGTTCCTATAACCTCTAGTTTCTCATTGAAGTTGCCGTCGTTGCTTCACTCTTGAAGCACTATATCAATGAGAATCACGTCTCCTCCGCTTTTCTTGATTTAAAGTATTTCTAAACTGCGATTTGTGCTTCAACATGTATGATGAAGTTATAAGATTTTCAAAATTGCCTAGACGTTCACAAGACGGATCGTTACGTACCGCAAAAATATTTGGGTTTAATATGTGTTGAATTGTGGGATACCCTTAAAGCGTGAAGGTAACTGATACATTATATCTCTTGCAATGATTCTATGCAGGCGGCTGTCAATGGTGTTTACGCTACACTGATCATTCTCGCCTTGGTGGAGTTTGTTGTCGCCATCGTTGGTGCCAGCATGACCTGCGGTCCCCTTTGCAACGGTGGATCAGCAACTCAGACTGTGGTAGGTACCGCATTGGGACAACACCAAGTTGTATCCTCTGTATTTATTTGCATTGCTTGTTGTTTTATCAAGATGAAGTAATTAACAATTCAGTTGACAAGTCCAGTTTTATGGGTGTATACAACAGCTCATTGTGACTTGACTTTGGTCATGATGCCTTGTGATTAAGTTATTAAGGACTTTTGAGAACTTGTGACTGTTGTATAAAAGGAGTATTGCATGCTTTTGAGGTAAATTCCAGTTTAAATTTAGCAGTCAAATCTAACCTAGGCATGTATACACGTATTGCAGTTATTACCACGTAAGGTCATATAGGCATACCTTTTCATCCTTTGATTTGCTTTCCTTCGAAAGCACTTCCATTGTATTCTGGCAAAGAAACCTAGTTATTCGCCGTTTCATGCCATGGACTACCACTGAAGCTAGTAGACGAAATGTATAAAGGTATAATAGAGTTTTCGTGTATTCACGTCGCTTTCTTAATTAATGTTACAACGGAAAAAAATAATATTCGGATAATAAAGCAAATGCCCTATGGATCTACAGTCCTGGCCAAATCTCGCTGAGCCCCCAAGCCCCCGGCCTCCGTTCAATGTTGTCTTTTATTGCGCGGTGTGTGCTCCATCAGCTGTAGAGAACAACATTGACCGGGGGAGCGGGGGAGTGGGTGACCGTGGCAGGCTCAGGAAGTGTCCCAACCATTTTGGCCGGGATTGTAGATTTGCTCAGAAATCAAGAATAATTAGCCACTTAAATCATAAAAAAACCAGATCGATCATAAACAGAGAGTTCGATTGGAAAAGAATGTTCAGATATGGGATCAGCGACAATTACGCGTACGTTTGCAAGGTATCGCCATGATAGGCAATGCATTCAATTAGACGACGATGTAGTTGAAGAAACACTCCAATGAAACACAACTTTTCTTGATAATGACAGATCCACTACCAAGCTCGACCACACATGGTGGTTACCACACAGCCCCATGGCCCGGCCTTCTACAACGTTCCCTCTGGCCAGCCACAAATTGGTAAGAGATGTCTTTTTCAACATTTTAAGTTATAGTAATAATGATCAGATATCAAACTGCGAAGCTTGTGGTCTCTCCCATGTAGCCCTTTTTTTTTTAAATTCTTCACAACATCTTTAAGCTGTCTTTTCCTCTGTATATGTGTTCATAGAAAGTATAACACCCTTCTCTGGTCGTCTCATCCTTAAAATTGCATTTCCTAATTTCCCCTTCTCCTGTTTTGATACAGCCTACCCAGCTCAGCAGGGGCAGTATCCGCAGGCTCAAGCGCCCCCACCTGGTGAGCAATAGTACCAAGAACTCATTAAATAGGTCATCGATGACCTTTGACCTGAAGGAATCATGATATCTAGTACTTGAAACAGAATTTTAAGTCTTGACTTTTGCTTGTTAACTGTATATGTGGATGTACATAGAACTCACGCGTCGAGAATCAGGTTAAGAGGCAAAACAATATGTTGCCCTGGTTCCCTTTCATACTAACTTTCCGATAAAAGAGAAATTTGGGAGATGTTTAATTGATGTAAAGTATATTAAATGAAAAAAGGTGTACTAAAATATTTACTCAAATATACTGTCTCATCCTTAAAACTTCATTCACCCTTTTTCCTGTTTTGATGCAGCTTACCCAGCCCAGCAGGTGCAGTATCCGCAGGCTCAAGCGCCCCCAACCGGTGAGCAACAGTACCAAGAACTCATTAAATAGGTCAGCGATGACCTTTGACCTGAAGGAATTATGATATCTAGTGCTTGAAACAGAATTTAAAGTCTTGAATTTTGCTTGTTAACGGTATATGTGGATGTTCATTTAGCTTTTATAGAACTCACGCGTCGAGAATCAGGTTAAGAGGCAAAACAATATGTTGCCCTGGCTCCATTTCACAATAACTTTCCGATAAAAGAGAAATGTGGGAGATGTTTAATTGATGTAAAGTATATTAAATGAAAAAAAGTGTACTTTGAGATATTTACTGAAAAGCTGCTGTTACATTACGGTGATGTGTACATTAACCACACTGTCTCATCCTTAACACTTCATTCACCCTTTCTCCTGTTTTGATGCAGCTAACCCAGCCCAGCACGTGCAGTATCCGCAGACTCAAGCGCCCCCAACCGGTGAGCAACAGTACCAAGAACTCATTAAATAGGTCATCGATGACCTTTGACCTGATGGAATCATCTAGGGCTTAAAACGGAATTTAAGTTTTGGCTTGTTCATGTAAACTTTATATGAATGCACATTAAGCTTTTAGCAGTCACGCGTCAAGAAATAGGTTCGGAGGTAAAGCGATATGTTACTCTGGCTCCATTTTAGAATATTTTTTTTCTCAAATGAAAGTTAGAATGTTGGAGATGCTTAATTTGAATCAAGCAGTTAATGAAAAAAAGTATAATATAGGCCTATTCAGATATTTACTCAATAGCTGTTGTAACATTATGCATAATGTATATATTAAATAAACTAAAAATGGGCCATTCCCAAAATCACAGCCTCGGCTGTAGACATTCGGGGCATGTTTTGCGTTTCTGACTAAAATACTAGTTAGTTTTGTTGTATTTAATTGCTGCGTTTTCAAAGACGTCCATCACTGAACGCCAAAGGCAGTGTCTTTCTGTTTGTTTTGTGCATTCGAAATTGCTCCGGAGCCAAATTTAGCCTTAACCAACAGCAGGTTCACCGCTTTACAAATAAAGGTGTGACCAATATAAGCTTTTATATAACCGACATACAAATCCTTGTCCTTTGATTGGAGGAACTCCCATCACGTGACATTCGTTATGGCCCCCATTCACGCCCGGGCTCAAAAAGTATACTATCCGCCAATGGGGAATGGGAAATACTATTTCCAGTTCACTCGGCTTCGCCTCGTGAAATGGAAAAGTCCAGATTTTACCTTGCGATAATATTTCTCCCATTCCACGCTGAGCATAACAGGGAGTCGTATAATTTAGAAAATTGAGTTTATGTTAAATTGTTTGAGGTTCTAGATATGGAATTTATTGCCTTAGTTTTCAAATTGGAAGGGGTTTCGGTGTTATGTTTCACCTGGGGAATCTGTATGATAATGAAATATAAAAACAGCTCTCTGTACAACGCATGACGAGCTGCTTCTCCGAATTAGATCCATTCGTTGATCAAGCTGGTATTGATGGAATAGCCCACATTAGCTTTCTTGCATTCACAGCAAAAACAAATTTAAAAAAAGAATTCAAGATTGCTGACTTGATATAGCCGCTGTGACTTTTTAAACCCCGTCCGTTGACTTCAACAGCACTTGGCGTAAGTTACACACTTATTTGTTTTCTTCTTAAAAGAGATGTCTAAGCTTTGTAATTCACACATATTATATTAGTCAGTACTACTCAGATTTGTCATTTATATGTACACAGTACTCACTTTGGTTTTGCTAATGTATCAATGAGCAAATGATATGTCCCTATGAGAAGGTGATGTTTGAACGTTTTTTTTGTAATTGTTATTATGAGTTATTATTGTTTGATAACATGTCTGTCAATTTTGTTTGCATCAGAACTTCCCGTACCGGGGGGTGGACCTTCAGCTGTGTTTGTGTTTGGTCATGCTGCTAAAAACTCCGTTCCATTGATTTCATATCTTGGATGCTTTCCATACAACAATGACCAGAATTTTAAAATGTTATCCTACACTGTTTGGAACAGAACTGCCGTAAGGGCTGAACATTTAGTTATATTTTATGCTGCTAAAACGTATTCCCATTTCAGGGATGCTTTCTATACAACAACGTCCTTAAGTGTTAAGAAACCACATTTGGAAAAGGGATTAAAACAATAAATAGTCAGGATATCACGTTCACTTGTCTTTAAACTTAATGATTTTTTTTAATAGTAAAGTTCGTAGTGCAGACCTTATTATGAAACATTTAAAATAAAGAGAATGCTTGAATTCCCATTTGCCTCAACGGTTTTTTTTTGTTTTGTGGGGGATGCGGGCACTGGGAATTTGTTGGGGCACATTCCCCCGGCTCCAAGCACACACCCGGCTACTCGGTCATGAATAAAAACTGTTGAAGGAAACGAAGGCGTCGAAAAGTATTGTGGTGAAGTCACTTGAAATAGGCCTACACAACTACGTGCATTTCTTGTGCATGGTTGACGATTGGTGCGCTCACGGAAGTGTAGTTCGTGTACTCACTTTGGGTCACGGGTTTTGCAATAATGTATACAATGAGATCTCGTACACAGTTGAGGGAAAAGGCCTTCAGTACCACTGTGAAGTCGAGGCACTTTTAATGCCACTAAGCGATTGCTTTATTTAGAATATGACGCGGTGGTACGCAATAATTTTGTTTGACAAACCACATATTATATGCACTTGATGAAACTCTATGATGTCACCAAATTGGTCTATGGGGACGGGCATCACTAGCGTTGGGTAGGTAAACGTGTGAGGGGCTACGGAGAATCAACACGAGAAATAGATAATATTGTGTGTAAAAGGCAAGAGGCATTTTCAGTGATGATTTTCAAGAGATGACAAAGTGAAGAGACGAATAAAAGAATAAATGAATGACCGAATACATGAATAAAGTGCGGACAAAAGTTGACGTGTCAGTGAAATAGTAACACTTAGTAACGTGTTTGATTTGATTTAATTGCATTGTTTGCAAACAAAAACAAAAAATCCCATCTTATTAATAATTAATGCGGTACCCGCTGCTATGTACAATAGATTCGAACCAACCAACCGATCCCGTTAGCACGATAGTGGAGAGGTAAGACATCTGCACTAGAAAGCAGGAGGTCGTGGGTTCGAACCCACCTGAGTGTTTTTTTCCCAACCTTCACTCGGGAGGTAAGACACTTAGTATACAGTGTCTATACGTCGGTGAAGGGCAAAACGTAATTTGATTTACATCACCCCGACGCAAAAATCCCATCTTATTTCTGTCAATTGTTTGTTCTGTTGTAGTAGTAGGTCTACTCATTACTGCTACTTCAGACAGTCCAATACAAAATAACACTTTCCAAGTAATTTTGTTCTCAATAATATTTCACATTTTATACAATCAGTTTCAAATTCGAACTGATTATAACATGAATAGAATGCTTGTATTGTTCTCTTTCAACAATAAGAGTAACAATTATTAAATTCGCACAAATTCTTAGAAATATAAAAAACTCAACAGTCATCAATAAAAAAAAAAATCAATGAACAAATGAACAATGAATTAATTAACATACTGTTGTATTGTTTACTTGAAAAAGCATGTGGACAAAAAGCCATAAACAATGTCGACATGATGTAAAGTGCAAGATCTGGGGGAGAATTATTCATACTACTCCCATCTCTGATTCCTGTTTACAGGTACCAGAGCGTCAATCGCTTCTCAAAAATGGGGGTAAATACCTTGATCAGAACTAATGCAAGTGCGAAGCCCTTATGGCCTTGGGTGATGGGGTCCGGGGCCTGCTGAAGGGCCCCGGAAATTCTTTTGTGGTGCGATCTGAGGCGATTTCTGACCATTTTAACCAATTTGTTTTTGAGCAAGAGATCGTCATTTATACATTATTTTCGAGTGTGGAGTCATTGAATCAGCTATTCTGAACTACAGAATGAAATATGGGCTACAATTTGTATCCGTTGACGAAAAAAGTGTACAGGGGGGGGGGGGACAAACGATACGATACCCCTCACACTTTAAAAAGTGCGTGTGTGAGGGGGGGGGGGTGGGGGGGGGGTGGGGTGGGCACATGTCCGGGCACATGTCCAACCCCCCGTCCCCCACCAATTGAAGCCCATGCCTATTTACAATACAGTCAGCTCATTCACAGCACAATACTGTACACTGTCTCAAAATGAGGTACCTAAGCATTTCCCCCTGAAGCACCTGAGTGGTACTAAATCAGGGAAAAAACAGATTTATGATGTTACATATCTCCATGATTGACATGAAAGGGGGGATTTAGTGGCTTTGCACAACTAACTTGCACACCTCGCGTTCAGTGACTGGAGCAAATTTACTTTACACCTACCAGTAATGTGGTGGCGCCCTTTCAAACGAAAAACTACTTCCTGTTTTACTTTTTTTCAGCAGAGTGTCTTTTCTTTCCCTTGTACGATATATGGACAAACCCAGTCTGTATGCGCTGTGTGTAGGTCTTTAGAACGCCGTTTCCGTCAGTGACGCCGTTTTAGGAAACAAGAACACTCTATCCAGCGAAAGGTACTGAAACGATTGCGTTTGTTTTTTCGCTTAAATCACTTTTAAATGTCCTATAATAATGTTTATCATTACTATGGCAAGAAAAGCAAGTGCTTATTGGCGCCTTGAGAGAGTGAGACAGGTTTTTCCAGAAGATGTCCCATGGAGCATTTGCGAAACTATGTGAACTTGAAAAATCAGAAGTATAAATGTATTAACACTCAGACCTTATCTCACTTTTATAAAATATGTGAAAATATGGATGAATTGAACCGATCGACCGCCTGACTAATTATGGATTAATTGATTGGATTAACAGATTCCAGAGATACTTTCTGTCACAATGATGACCCCTACCAACGCCCCACCGGCCTACGTGGCTGCGCCTCAGCCCGTCGGCCAGCAACAACTGGTAAGTCCGTGACCACTTCGGGAATTAGACTGTTCAGTTTTGGCTAAAAGTGAAATTAAGACTAATGCAGCAGACTGGGTAATAGCTGCTCATTTCTATGATTGCTTTATTGACAATTGGATCTGTGAGAAAATGTGTAATTTAGAAATCAATGGTGATTTTACTTTCTGTTTGCTCGGGTTGGGTAAAAGATTCCGTCAATGCACCGTCGCCATTTTGCCTACCTTGTACCAGTTTGTACAGGTCAACTGAACATGACTGGCTTTCACACTTGACTACACACACACCAGTAAAGTTTACTACTGGTATTTGCAATGTCATGTGCGTAGTGCCTTTATTCATATGGTAATGTCAGAATGAGAAAGAACATCATATTTACCTGTACGACACGTTCTGTACTTGTTGTACGCCTGTCGAGTGTAGGCCTACAAGGCAAATTATTCTCTCGTAGTTGTTGGTGTTCGTAATTTGTTGGTTTAGGCCTACATTACATCAATCACCGGTATGCAATATGCCATTATGGCGTTGAGTTTGTTCTACAAAGTATCACAAATTCATTTCATCTTTTTCATCACTCCACACTACTACCCAATAAATACCTAGCATATTAGGCTGAGAGCTGGATAGGGTTTAACAAAAATCCCCTTATGGTCCAAGGCATAGTATCATCGACCTTGATCACAGAATGGCAAGTCTTAAGCTTCGCTAGATCAGACCGATGCTCATTGTCGCCATGCCAAATGGGGCCAATTTTACATTTACTTAACATTGTGAAAACAAGAACGAAATCAGTTTCGTTTGACAGCTTGGCACTTGAAGATAATTGAAATATAATTTTTGAGTGATGTTAGATCAGACTAATTAAATAAGAGCGGCGCCAAATTCGGGGAGGGGGCGGGCTCGCTACCCACTTCCATGTATATTTTTGCGTATATTTTTGCTTATATCCTCGCAATGCACTTTTATAAATTGTGTCAAGTTTCCCTGACAGGTTTGCTGGTGTCTTGCAGTTATTTTGACACACATTTTTTGGAAAATAGGGCAAACCTTACCTTCATCGCAAAATGTCTATTTTCCAAAACAGGTGTCTAGATGTAACTTTCCCATCTTGATAATGATCTGTGTACATACCGTCCAATCAATTACCGTTTGAAAATTGTCAAAAAAAAAAAAAAAAAAAAAAAAAAACCTTTACCGTTTACCCTATTATAATCTTGGTGTGGAAACAGAAAAAGCAAATCGATTACCAGTTACCGTTTATGCGTCTAAAAAAACGGAAACAGAAAAACAAACTTGTTTTACATTTTACCGCTTTTTGAATCTGTTAAAAAAATTAAAAAGCAAACCCTTTACCCATTTCTGTCTTTTTAATTGAGAATTGAAATTTAAAAAAAGGAAAAAGCAAACCTTTTACCAGTAACCGTTTTTGAATTAAAAAAACCCAGCAAACCCACCCTTTACCAGTTACCGTTTTAGAATCTTAAAAAGAAAAAAGGAAAAGCAAACCATTAACCGTACACCCTTTTTTGAATTTTAACCCTTCGCGTGCTAATTTTTGGCGCTGTGATATTAGACGGCTGCATGGAATCAATCCATGACACAATGTAATTTGAGCTACCCGGCCCTCAAAGTCCACCATTCACCCAGATTAACCCCTGGTATCACTCAGGCCCTATAAACAGTCAATAAAACCAGACACTAACCTCCTCAATGCCATTTGACAGTTCCATTTTTGCCACAGGGGTGGTCGAGGTAATCCCTATGTGAACAATGCATTTGTACACAAGCCTATGTAAATGCGCACAAGCACATTAGGTTTTCCCGCCAATTTCCAACCCCTCCAGTAGGATCACAAGACTTACACCCCCTCTAGTGGATGAACCATGGTCCATACTAGGATCTAGCGATAGATGACCTGGGCATGGCTAACACGTGGCTGGGACAATAAAAAACAAAGAAAAAGCAAAGCCTTTACAGGACACCGTTTTGGGGTCTGTCTTTCGAAAAAGGGACAACGCATCGAGTTACAGCATTCCTTTTTTGATGCGTATTCCTAAAAACAAAATAAAAAATCCTTGTCCTCTGTATACAGATAAAAAAATATCACAGCACACTCGTATTTGTTTCATTTTATTCTACTGAAACACAAACAACTAAAAACTATACGACAATTTGTTTTTTGGGTTTTTTTTTCCCGCTCAAACACGTAGTAGTAGAAGTAGTAGTACATTTATTTCGATGCTGTCCTTGGATGAAGGCTACAGTGTTTACAATAAGTTAATACAATATTACAGGTTAAGTTTAATATCAAATTATTACACAAAGAACAACATTTAAGTTTTGGTGAAGCAAAAATGCTTTTGTACACTAACCTAGGGACAGACAATGGGACAGACAGGACAAAGGACTACAACAACAAATGAGTGTGCATGCAGGTACTAAGACATAACAATACGAGATAATTTACACATTACATTTATAAATATGCATCAAGAAGTTGTTTTCTTAGTTTTTGACAAATATAGCCTGTGATGGTGATTTTTTCATAGATTCACTAAGACTGTTCCAGTAATTTGCACCACGTTGAATAAGATTGTTTTTTAAACAAGGTCGTTCGACTGTAACAAACATGGATATTTTTTCTAGAAGCACTTCGAGTATTGTGTGAATGTATGTTTGATGATAACGAAAAATATGAGCTAAAACCAGGTAATGCATTATTTGCCAACACAGTAAAGAAAAAAAGGGTAACAAGAAAAAGAAAAACGAAACCTATCACTAGTTTCAGCCCAACGAAACCCGAGTGCGGCCAAGTTCGTCAGAAAGTGTCTCGCTGCTGTTTCCGGGGGATAAACAAATTGTTCTCAAGGCGTGGCGGGAGACCCAGGATCGATAATGTACATTTACATGTGTGCATAAGAGTGCCGACAAATAGATCGAATTCCAATTTCGCTTCACTTTTAGGCCAAAAAAAAAAAAAAAATTGTCGGTCTCTGGTCAGACCGAAGTTCCGGAATTGATGCGGCGACGCGGTTTAGGCCAAAAAAAAAATAAGTCGGTCTCTGATCAGCGCGCGCGTCGATTTTAATCATGCGCGTCAATTTTTTTTTTTCCAAAATGTTCCGCGGTAGCTCCAACAGCGCCCTCTATTGCCGCACCTGCTCATTTTTTTTTTTTACCAAAGAGCAACAAAGAATAGGAAATTGCACCAAGGCAAATGATCGAGAGCACAAGGCAAATTATGGAGGACACCAGTGTACACGAGGACACCAAAAAAGCAAAATAGTACCCCACCTTGTCTGTACAATCCAAGCTTGAAGAAAAAAAAAAATCAAAAAAAAAACGCGTCCCCGCGTCAATTCTGGAACTTTGGTCTGACCAGAGACAGAATTTTTTTTTTTGGCCTTATTTTATTTTTTATTTTTTTGGTGGTTTTTTTTCTTCAAATTTTGAATTGTACACTCAAGGTAGGTACTATTTTGTTTTTATGTGTCCTCATTACACATTGGGGTCCTCCATAATTTGCCTTGGTGCCCTTTATCATTTGCCTTGGTGCAATTTCCTCATTCTTTGGTGCTCCTTGGTACAAATATTTGAGGAGGTGCGGCAATAGAGGTCGTTGTTGTAGCTTCTGGGTTAACTTGAAGGGGAAAAAAGGTTGACGCGCATGATTAACATCGACGCGCGCGCTGACTCGAGACCGAGTATTTTTTTTTTGGCCTTAAGATACTTTTTCATTTTCTACAACTGCCAAGACATCAATAAAAACTGGTTTTATTTTCTCCTCCTTAATTTTGTAGTACATGTGAAGTTTCAATTCGATGTGTTAGTCGGCACTCTCTTAGGCCTACCTGTTTTTGAAAATGGACAGTTTGCAACGAAGCTTAGTGTGCCCTGTTTTCATAAAATTGGTGTCAAATAAATGCAAGACATCAGCAAACATGTCAGGGAAACTCGGCACGATTTAAAAAGTGCATTGTGACGATATCAGCGAAAATGTACATGAATGGTGGTGGTGGCCCCGCCCCCTCCGCCCTTTTTGTGCCACTTTTAGTTAATTACTCTGATCTAAAATCACGCTTCAAATATATTTTCATTATCTACGAGCGCCAAGCTATTGATTAATTAAAATGTAAAATTGGCCCAATTTGCCTTGGCGAAACTGGCCATTCTGTCATTAGTGTCGATGATACTATTGTGGCGAAACGAGCTATACACCCTTCGTGGCGGGAATAACTAGGTGACCCGACAGTCTGACCCGATCGAAGAATGTAATTAGACCTGGCCTTAAGGCGAGCCATCAGATAACGACCGTTCGGGTACTGGGTCCGGTATGCTAATTTCTTTCACCCCAATCGGTACGAAGCCAGAAGCCACCCGGTCACTGAAGCGTGACGCCCCAATCGGTCCAACCTGGTGACTCATGGTTTCACAATAGGCAACATAAATTGAAGCCTAGCCATTGTTGGAGGATTATTCGGCCCACTGGGATTACCAGCGGCAACTTCTATGAAGCTCATCACAGTCATTGTTGCCTGCTTGAGGATGAGCGCGTCGCAAATTGGTTCCTTTGTGATGAGCCAGAGCCATGGTGCAGAAGCCAGGTGGAGTTAATCCAGGCCGATCGGTTCCATGCAAGGTCCCAATCCCTTCAACATACTGGGCGGGCTCAACCCCGAACGGTCCGGGGAGGGATTCTAATTTGAGGGCTCGCCTAACCCACAAAAATATTTATAAACCTCGCACAAGGATGAGCGGTTACCTGGCCTGACGCAAGGGGGGATATAGTTAACGAACGGCGGACTAAGCCTAGGGGCTGTTCGTTTGGCGGAAATATACCACCGATCTGCGATTAATTAAGTATTTGACTTTATTGACAAAAGAGGGGACTAACTTATTCAGATATATCCAACAGAGAGCGGGACTACATAAGCTTCACAGTGACCAGTTATTCCAAGATGTTAATCAGCTAGTTTATTCCTTTAGCACACTTCAAATATAATGTCAATGCGTCACCATTCAATAATTTATACAACGATGAACCTCACAGATCTGATGAATCCAGGTAAACCTCGGTGTTCGAATTAACACTGATAAACCTCGTTCTTAAAACAAGCACTAGTAAACCTCGCTCTTAGAATAAGCACTAGTAAACCTCCCTCTTAGAATAAGCACTAGTAAACCTCACTGTGATAATCTAGTAAACCTCGCTGTGATAATAAGCACTAGTAAACCTCGCTGTGATAATGAACACTAGTAAACCTCGCTATTAGAATAAGCAGTAGTAAACCTCGCTGTGATAATGAACACTAGTAAACCTCGCTGTTAGCTGAAGGGTCAACTGCACCCCTTGTCATTAACTTATACAATTATAATCTTCGTACGGCTCTTGGGTCAACTGCACCCTTTATTAGCTTATGCAATTATAATCGTCTGGTTCAACAGGGGTCAACTGCACTCCCTTATGATTAACTTGCACAATTATAACTCACAGCTTAGCGGGGTAATTCACTTAAGGTAAACCTCACTTGGGTATACCTCACCTAGACTTGAGGTTTCTAGTTTATCAGAAAGTGGTCGTCTGCACCACTGACTTAAATAACGGGCTAGTGTTCTTTCACTTAGCACAAATGACCCCAATGAGGTCTACAAATAACAGAATAGATTTATACAATAGAACACAATCCTTGCTACTGGCTTGATGTTGACCGTACCAGCGAATTACACACACGGGATACTTAGTAACGTTTCTATGACCCACCGGACGATAATAATAGCCCTCTGAACGTTAACCCAGTAAACCTTCGGGAAACTCAGGATTCACGGACTTTACAGGGCCGCAATCAAGTCACGATTCCCTCCACAAGTCACGATTAAGCAGGTTCCCCGGCAGGAAAAGCGAGCTCAGTTGTCCAAGTCCGCATCAACCGCAGCCACGCCAATTGGCATAGATCAACGGCAGACAGACCTTCCGAACAGTCTTAGCTACACTACTTCCTCAATGGGAAAACAAGCCTACGGACTCACAGGGCAGCTATACCGCAGCTACGCGTAATGGCACAAACAACGGAAGACAATCCTTAAGTCTGAAGTAAGCCTAACTGTTCCCCAACCTTCAGATTTACTCCGGGTCCGACTATTATCTTAACTCAGGCCCTATATCTGAAATATCCCGACTTCTTAACAACAATCCACCCCAAATCATATCCGATAAGACCTTAAACTGCACAGGGGGATGTAAACAACGAAGTCCAGCTTTACTGACCGATCACACAAGGCGCGATGGGGCTTTCTCCCGCTCCGGTCCAACCACGGTAACCCAGTAAACGCTGTCAGCTCACGAGATTGCACGACACAACGCGGTCACTCCCAGGAATTTACTCGTTGAAGTCTCTCACAGCAGTGCCGATCCCACGCCAGGCCACGAGGCAATCGCCCCAGACCAAGCCGGATGCACGCTGCTGATTGGTCGCTGCGCGATATCACGCCCTTGTTCACGCGGTACATGCCTGAATAATTAATAGCCAGACATGCCCATCAGCCTAGTGTACATGCAGGACGCGCATGCCGATTGGTTGCCCCACAGTATCACGCGCTCTAACGCGCGGACTGACGTGATGCTTCTGAGGCTAGACTTGATATCAAAACTCTCAGTTTTTATCATTGCCACTCGACCCGAACATTTCCGTATCATTCACCAGGTGACGGTGCAACCCGCTGCCGGCGTTACTTTCGGCACGGTCAACCCACAGCCTCGAAGTGGTAACTGGAAGGGTATTCTATGGACAGGAATAATTCAAGTGGTTTTGGGTTCCTTGACCGTCATTCTGGGGATTGTCACCCTTTCAGCATTTAACCGTGTGAACGATAGCAGTGATATTGCATCCCCACTTTGGTGTGGTATCGTAGTAAGTATGAAACAATACTCCCGAATTCCATGCCATTCTTGTGTATTGACCAGGGGCGGATCCAGGAATTTTCGCGGAGGGGGGGTTCATTAGCCAAAAAAATCGGAAAATGTACACAGGTTTTTTTCTCCGGACATGTGGCCTCCGTAAAATATAAAAACTGGGGGGGGGGGGGGGGGGAGCTGGTACCATATTTCAATAGGGGCGCTGTTCAAATTCCACGATTATCAACACTAGATTACAGAATGGGTAAGGTAATTTGAACAGGCGGATACTATACCAGTATAATTTTTTGGGGGGTGTCACAGCCGGGGGGGGGGGGGGAGGGTGGACTTATTTTTGGGGAATTTGTATGCGAATTTTTTTTTTAAAAAACAGTACCGATTTGTTTGTTTCTTTGTTTCTTGTGTAAGTTCTGATGCCTATTGACTCTTTTAGCTAGGTGCAGTCGTTTTAAAAGGAAAGAGTTGTGTGGAGAGAGGAAAATGAATTGGGCGGAATATTTCCACCTCACAAAATTTATTTCTCACTTTTCACATAGCTTACGAGGTTTACGGTGTTTTTTTTGTTTTGTTTTACGTGTACAATGATACGTTATGTTTTTGACACTTCCATTTTGTGTCCACATATCTTGTTTAAGTTTTTCAATATCTTGCCAATGATGGTTGGGTTCGTATAAACATCTGCTACACATGTACATTCAAAATGAAGCATGTAGCCTTCCTTAAATTTCAGCCTTGAATGTTTTTACAGTTCTATGGCTTCGCTGGAATCTGTGGAATAGTGTCTGGATCTAAGAAGCATTCTGGATGGGTAAGCCATTGTTAAGGGTTTCTTTAATACTCGGCAGTATCATGGTGCTCAGTTGTTGCTTCCTTGAAATGGAAAATGTTCAAAATGGGAAGAGTAACCAATAAGTAGAATCCTACTATGTTATTTGCAGATAATTATGGCCTCAATATTAACATAGAACCATTTAGCGAATATTGGACCACTTCCAGCGATGTAGCCTACATCAAGATTTTTTTAAAGAGTTTGAATAAATTGTGTGTTTTTCTGCACAGGCTGTCGGCTACATGGTCATGTCCATCTTGGCTTGTTTGGCGACGTGCTGCGTCATTGGTTTTGGTGCTGCCAGGATGTCATTCATCAATGAACACTGCTATCCGCGTTTAATTACGCGTTATCTTTATAATTATTATGGCCGCGTCGTGGCCGTCTTCGTGGCCGTCTATGACGATCCTCGTTCACACTGTGATTTGAAGGTAAGTAGAACTTTAACCTCCTTATAATGAAAACGTATTCTTGCTTCTGCCTCAGGGGGTTTCTATCTTCATCTTTTTTACACCTGTATAGGCCTATTAGGTGTTAGGCTTTCAGCCCAACATTGTAAGAATTTACTATTCTTCTAATTTGTACTCTTCATGAAAAATTCTTCCTCAGAACTGTTTGTCAAAATGAAAACATATATGAATTCAATTCATTTCAACTGTAAATTCATTTCCAAGCTTCATGAGAAAAATATATACAAACTTTAGAGAAAAGCGTTAAACCATAAAGCAGTATATATCAAATTAACAGCAAAATAAAAGAAGTTAATAGAGCATCGGGCTGTTTTAATAAGCAGAAGCTTGTGGAAAACAGCCGACAGAAAAACACAGGACAAACAAACAATCAAACACCCCAACAAACAAACAAAGATATTACAATGGGTAAGCTGGCACGAGACAAGGAACATATAATAATAAAATGAAAAGATGGCAAAAGGCTGTATGAGCAAAAAGACAACAAAAAACCCAAAAATAACATGTGAGGAATACAGAAACACAGTAGACTTAATCAGGAGAGAGGGCTACGATGCATAATGGCAGATAAGAGCTTGCTTGTATGAAGACTTGAAAAGACCGCTGACATCTGATACGCTCATCTATAGCATTCGATACGCAAGGACCAAAGAAGCGAATGGTGTTCACAGAATAAGAGGTGCGAGTGAATGGAACATATAGATTGGTGCAGGATCTCGTGGAGTGGCTATAGTATGGCGCGAACGGAAGTGAAGAAGGAAGAGAAGACTAGCGGAAGAAGGTTGTTAGTGAACTTATACATGAATATCCAGGTATGGAGTTTGTTAATGTAATGAATAATGTACTTATAATTAGGAGTGGAAATTCGCAAAAATGATGAGTATTTCTGGAGCTCTGACTGAAACGTGTTCACTGTTCACCCAACCATAACACAACCATGATGCATTATCATGTATTTTTTTTTTTCAAAACATTAATGCACAACCCACTGAGGATGTACTTTGTTGATATTACGTCATTATGACGTCATTATGGGTCAGGTAATCTTTAAAAATAAATAAGAAATCACCCGTGAGATGCCGGAATTTGAATTTTACGGGAATTGATATGATAATACATGATCTTCATCACGTCAAATCACGTGGCCCTTCTTTCCGGTTGAAGCCGGAAGTGCTCAATAATTCGAAATTGGAAAAAGATGTGAACCTGTTTTTAACGATGTTAGTCTCTGCCTATGTTGAACTTTACCAAATAATATCGGTGACGACAGGTTAAAACTGTCAAAAACGCATTTTCAGTCGATGTGTGTAGCGACATGTGCGGTAATCGCTTCAAAATTTCATACAACACCGGTGCGAGTAAAACATTGATGACGTCATCAGATCAGAAGTTATAATAAAAAGACCTTTTAAAAACCTTACGAAATTGCTGAAAAATCAACCGCGACAGATACAATCAAGATTTGGCTATATATAGCATAGGTAACATAGCTCTTGAGATTTCTGGTAATGACGTCACGATGACGTCATCAAGTATCATTTTACACGCAAGCAAAGATTTCTAGATTTAATCTCTGAAAATCAATATAAAAATCAACAGTTAGAGATTTAATTTTGTTTTTATGACAATCGATACAATATTGTGGGGTCGTCATTTTTTTGTATTAAGTGCAAAATCGGATAACCCTTCCTTCCGGTCGAAACCGGAAGTGCCTGATAATTTAAAATTGATGTGAACTTGTTTTCAACGATGTCAGTCTCTGCTTAAGCTGTACTTTACAAAAATATTACAGGTGACGTCATCAAATGTTAGAGCACCCTCTAGCGGCATGTTGAAAAAGTCGAATTTTGTTTTTTGAGTTGATGTGTTCGGCGAAGTTTGTGGTGATTGCTACAAACATGATAGCCCAACACTGTGTGGTTGTTCCTATAACCTCTAGTTTCTCATTGAATTTGCCGTCGTTGCTTCACTCTTGAAGCACTATATTAATGAGAATCACGTCTCCTCCGCTTTTCTTGATTTAAAGTATTTCTAAACTGCGATTTGTGCTTCAAAATGTATGATGAAGTTATAAGATTTTCAAAAATGCCTAGACGTTCATAAGACGGATCGTTACGTACCGCAAAAATATTTAGGTTTAATATGTGTTGAATTGTGGGATACCCTTAAAGTGTGAAGGTAACTGATACATTATATCTCTTGCAATGATTATATGCAGGCAGCCATCAATGATGTTTCTGCTACACTGATACTTCTCGCCATGGTGGAGTTTATTGTCGCCATCATTGGTGCCAGCATGGCCTGTGGTCCCCTTTGCAGTGGTGGATCAGCAACTCAGACTGTGGTAGGTACTGCATTGTGACAACACCAAGTTGTATCCTCTGTATCTGCATTGCTTGTTGTTTTATCAAGATCAAGTATTAAAATTACAATTCAGTTGACAAGTCCAGTTTTATGGTCGTATACAACAGCTCATTGTGACTTGACTTTGGTCATGATGCCTTGTGATTAAGTTATTAAGGACTTTTGAGAACTTGTGACTGTTTCATGCTTTTGAGGAAAATTCCAGTTTAAATTTAGCAGTCTAATCCAACCTAGGCATGTATACACGTATTGCAGTTATTACCAAGTAAGGTCATATAGGCATACCTTTTCATCCTTTGATTTGCTTTCCTTCAAAATCACTTCCATTTTATTCTGGCCAAAAAAATCTAGTTATTCGCCGTTTCATGCCATGGAATACCACTGAAGCTAGTAGACGAAATGTATAAAGGTATTATAGAGTTTTCGTGTATTCACATCGCTTTCTTAAATTAATGTTACAACGGAAAAAAATAACATTCGGATAATAAAGCAAATGCCTTATGGATCTACAATCCTGGCCAAATATCGCTGAGCCCCCAAGCCCCCGGCCCCCGTTCGATGTTGTCTCTCATTGCGCGGTGAGTGCTCCATCAGCTGGAGAGAACAACATTGACTGGGGGAGCGGGGGAGTGGGTGACCGTGGCAGGCTCAGGAAGTGTCCCAACCATTTTGGCCAAGATTGTTGGTTTGCTCAGAAATCAAAAATAATTAGCCACTTAAATCATAAAAACAGATCGATCTTTAAACAGAGAGTTCGATGGGAAAAGAGAGTTCGATGCATTCAATTAGACGACGATGAAGTTATTAAAGAACACTCCAATGAAATATAACTTTTCTTAATAATGACAGATCCACTACCAAGCTCGACCACACGTGGTGGTTACCACACAGCCTTAGGGACCGGCCTTCTACAACGTTCCCGCTGGCCAGCCACAAATTGGTAAGAGATGTCTTTTTCAACATTTTAAGTTATAGTAATAATGATCAGATATCAAACTGCGAGGCTTGTGGTCTCTCCCATGTAGCCCTTTTTTTTTTAATCTTCACAACATCTATAAGCTGTCTTTCTCTCTGTATATGTGTTCATAGAAAGTATAACACCCTATTCTGGTCGTCTCATCCTTAAAACTTCATTTCCTAATTTCCCCCTTCTCCTGTTTTGATACAGCCTACCCAGCTCAGCAGGGGCAGTATCCACAGGTTCAAGCGCCCCCACCTGGTGAGCAAAAGTACCAAGAACTCATTAAATAGGTCATCGACGACCTTTGACCTGAAGGAATCATGATATCTAGTGCTTGAAACAGAATTTTAAGTCTTGACTTTTGCTTGTTAACTGTATATGTGGATGTACATTTAGCTTTAATAGCACTCACGCGTCGAGAATCAGGTCAAGAGGCAAAACAATATGTTGCCCTGGTTCCCTTTCATACTAACTTTCCCATAAAAGAGAAATGTGGGGGATGTTTAATTGATATAAGGTGTATTAAATGAAAAAAGTGTACTAAAATATTTACTCCAAAGCTGCTGTTACATAACGGATAATGTATATATTAACTACACTGTCTCATCCTTAAAACTTCATTTACACTTTTTCCTGCTTTGATGCAGCTTACCCAGCCCAGCAGGTGCAGTATCCGCAGGCTCAAGCGCCCCCAACCGGTGAGCAACAGAACCAAGAACTCATTAAATAGGTCATCGATGACCTTTGACCTGATGGAATTATCTTGGGCTTGAAACGGAATTTAAGTTTTGGCTTGTTCATGTAAACTGTATGGATGCACCTTTTGCTTTTAGCAGTCACGCGTCAAGAAATAGGTTCAGCGCTAATGCGATATGTTGCTCTGGCTCCATTTTAGAATATTTTTCTCAAATGAAAGCTAGAATGTTGGAGGTGCTTCATTTGTATCAAGCAGTCAATGAAAAAAAGTATAATATACTCAGATATTTACTCAAAAGCTGTTGTAACATTACGCATAATGTATATATTAAATAAAGTAATAATGTGCCATTCCCGAAATCACAGCCTCGGCTGTAGACATTCGGTGCATGTTTTGCGTTTCCGACTGAAACACACGTTAGTTTTGTTTGATTGGTTTGCCGCATATTCAAAGACGTCCATCACTGAACGCCAAAGGCAGTGTCTTTCTGTTTGTTTTGTGCATTCGAAATTGCTCCGGCGCCAAATTTAGCCTTAACCAACAGCAGGTTCACCGCTTTACAAATAAAGGTGTGACCAATATAAGCTTTTATATAACCGACATACAAATTATTGTCATTTGATTGGTGGAACTCACATCAGAATATTGAGTTTATGTTAAATTGTTTGAGGTTCTAGATATGGAATTTATTGCCTTAGTTTTTAAATTGGAAGGGGTTTCGGTTTTATGTTTCACCTGGGGAATCTGTATGATAATGAAATAAAAAACAGTTCTCTGTACAACGCATAACGAGCTGCTTCTTCGAATTAGATCCATTGGTTGATCAAGCTGGTATTGATGGAATAGCCCACATTAGCTTTCTTGCATTCACAGCAAAAACAAATTAAAAAAAAAGAATGCAAGATTGCTGACTTGATATAGCTGCTGTGACTTTTTAAACCCGTTCCGTTGACTTAAACAGCACTTGGCGTAAGTTGCACACTTATTTGTTTTCTTCTTAAAAGAGATGTCTAAGCTTTGTCATTCACACATATTATATTAGTCAGTACTACTGAGATTTGTATATTATATGTACACAGTACTCATTTTGGTTTTGCTAATGTATCAATGAGCAAATGATATGTCCCGATGAGAAGATGATGTTTGAACGGTTTTTTTTGTAATTGTTATTATGAGTAATTATTGTTTGATAATATGTCTGTCAATTTTGTTTGCATCAGAACTTCCCGTACCGGGGGGGGGGGGGGGAGAGACCTTCTGTTGTGTTTGTGTTTGGTCAGGCTGCTAAAAACTCCGTTCCCCTGATTTCATTTCTGGGATGCTTTCCATACAACAATTAATGTTCTTTAGTCTTAAGAAATAACAAATGGGAATGGACACGCAAACTTGTAAGCATGATATCACGTTTATTGTGATTATGATTTAATGTTTCTTTTTTATCGCAACTTCGTTATGCAGATCCTATATCAAAGGTTTTAAATAGACAGAATGTTTTGGTTCTGATCGCTCAACATTAAATAAATAATTTTCAAATGTTTGAATTTGCTTTTAAATTCTGTACTTGTACTTTTATATTTGTTGTGAAGACTTTTCGTCTGGCCTAGACAAAATATAGTATTGGACCCACGAAACCTCAGCTGGTATATGCAGTCTTATAATTCCGATCATGTTTTATGTAAACTTACAGTATATGACCTGAGCTCAGCGTGTAATATAAAAAGCTCCTAAATCTCCGTCGACAATCGGGCTTGCCCAGATTAGAGTAAAGGGACCGGGGACCAGTCTACGATCTGTCGCCTGCCTTTGTTTGGCTCGTCCCCAGCGCATTGCACGCTCCATCCAAAGTGTTCAATCCAGACGCAAAAACTTGACTTAAAAGCACGCCTAATAAAAGCATTGTGGGTATAGGTCAGTTGTACGTGCATTTCGTGCGCATGGGTGGTGCACTTGGGAAAGTTCAGACTTTCGGTTACGGGTTTTACAATATGTATCCGATAAAAGCTCAAGGAATTGCAAGGCTATTACTTATCACTCGGTGGTACCAGCGCCATAGCGTAGGGAGAAGCGAGCCCTGGGAAGAAGGATGAGACGCTTTTTATGCCACTAAGCAAATGCTTAATTTAGAATATGACGTAATGGTGCGCAATATTATTGCATGACAAACCCAGTCGGTAAGCGCTGTGTTCAGTACGCCGTGCTAGGCAGTGACGACGGTTGAGGAAACAGGATCACTCCAGCGTAAAGGTAAAACGGTCGCATTTGTTTTCACTTTGTTTTGCCACTAAATTATACCTCGTAGACGGAAGGAAAGCAGGTCTTTACTCGCGCCTGCCGAGAGAGACAGTCGTTTCCAGTGGATGTTTCTCAAAATGCACACTGGAACATAATACCGAAATAAATTGTGTTGCTTCGACTCTTTTGCCGTTTTACAAGTCATGTTTGAAATACGAGCAAATGTTGATAATCGGACCGACAGACAGACCGATTGATGATTGATTGATTAATTGAATTACACAGAATCCGGAGATACTTTCTGTTACCATGATGAACACTAACAACGCCCCACCTGCCTACGTGGCTGCGCCTCAGCCTGTCGGCCAGCAACAACTGGTAAGTCAGTCAACTCCACCTGTATTTAAAATATGAACGTTCAGTATAGTGAAAAGTAGGGTCTATGTTGTAGACTGAGTAAATAACGGTCTATATCAGCTAAAATATGTTTATTATTATCAGTCATCAGTTCTATGAGATACTTAATATGTTTTGAGATTGATGTGATGGTGCTTTTGTATAATAATCCGGCATCGGTTTTACTATGCCGTCGCCATTACCTGCTTTGTACCATTCAGTACAAGCTAGATGTATACGATTGGTCTCATATACATGACTAAACACTCACAAATACAGTTGCCTGTTGGTGTTCGCAATGTCATTTACGTACTCAGGCTAGGACTCTATTCATATGGTAATTTTAGCACGAGAAAAATGAAATTCTTTCTACCTCAAGGACATGTTTTGTGTGTTGCGCGAGTGTACAAGAGTCAAACATTATTGAATTTCTATTGGTTGGGTTTACATTGCACTTACACGAAATATGCTAATATGGTTTTGACTTTGTTATATAAAATATGACAAATTCATTTTACCGCAATCAACACTCCCCACTATCACCCTATAAATTCCCAAAATATCATTGTCACTCAACCCAAGCATCCTCATTCACCAGGTGACGGTGCAACCAGCTCCTGTTACTGTCGGCACGGTCAACCCACAGCCTCGAGATGGTGACTGGAAGGGTATTCTATGGACAGGAATAAGTCAAATGGTTTTGGGTTCCTTGACCGTCATTCTTGGGATTGTCACCCTGACAGTATTTAGCAGTGTAGAACGCAGTGATTTTGCATCCCCAATTTGGTGTGGTATCTTAGTAAGTGATTTGAACATTATTCGCCATAATTTCATGCTACTTGTTTATTGACAGTGCTGATTTATTTTCCTTGGGCTGTTCGTTGGGTTGCTTGTTTGCTTGTTTATTTGTTTCTTTTGTTGGTTCTACTGCCTCATGATCGTTGTTAACTTGTTCAGCATCAAAACTGTTGTTTCATTAGGTCGTTAAGCTCAGTGCAGTCGTTTATGAAGCGGGTTTGTGTAGAGAAAGAGGAGACATGGAGGAATATTTCCACCAGGCAACGATTTTTTTCTCATAGAAATAAAAAGAAAGGGTTTTACTTGCACGAGGTTATGAAACAGGGCTTTTTCGTCTGTTCACCAAAAGGAGTTTCGTTTTACATGTACAATGAAAGGTTTTGGGATGCAATAGACACTTCCATGTTGTGTACACATAGACGGCTAAAGTTGTCGCACACTGCTAAGGGCAGGTTCATGATGTGTGTGTCCACCACCTTGCTAATGATAATGGTGTAGGATTCGTATATAGCACCACAGCCTTGAACAGGGTATCAAATTAAAGGGGACAAAAGACCCGGCAGTGGGTACTTTGGCTTTTATGTAGTCATGTCCATGCAAGGTGGAAGTATACGGTGATTGTTTTGTTTTTAAGGAATATAAAAAGGTTTATATTTTGTGCCAAATAAGATTTTTGTTGGTTATTAGCTTGTAAGCATGTCTGAACTTGCTCAAAAGATGGGCGTACAATCTGTAACGTGAGTTAGCGTATGCACAAGCTCCTGAAATACACACCTCTGTACATGTTATGATTATGTTTTAGTAATTGTCGAGCTTATGTTTTTGTAATGGTCGAGCATGGCTTACACTCTGATGATGCACGAGCACTGAAAATATTTTTTGTTTCCATCAGTGCACATTGTGAGGACTTTCAAATGCAAGGTATTTAATTTTCTGCCTTGTCTTTTTTGTGTGTAATAGGAGTCAAGGATGAAAAAAACATTTATGGCCCAACCGCATTAGTTGGTCTTTTCCTTTAGTTTAGTTTCTTAATTTCAAGGGATATTCTGTGACGAAAAATCCATTCTAAACGCTTTGACTGACTTAAAGAATACTAATGCAGAGTTGACGAAAGACCCCCTCGAAATGTGATGTGAGTTACCATGGAACTTCCCACATACATCTGCTGCACAAGTACCGTAATTTTCGGAATATAAGCCGCGGCTTATACGTTGATTTTGCCCATGAAAATGTTTACTGCGGCTTATACACAGGGCGGCTTATACGCCGAGCCTTGAAGAATAAAAATGAAATTCACATGTGTATTTAATGTACTGGTATTAGAAGAGATATGTTGCTGAAATGAATTATAAATTAAGAAAGTCATTAACAAACCGAAACCATGTCTCACGTAAAGGTACCGAGCGGTAAAAAAGTACGGTGATGAAAGCTGTCTTCGACACTTGCCACCAGCCGTACGTGATACTGGTACAGTGCAGCAGCGATATATGCAGGCATGCTTTCCCAACAGCGGACCACACCATTTGTGGTAACAAAGGGGTGTTCTTTCTTGGGAACAATAATTACCAATATTTTCGCTGTTTAAAAAAAAAGAAAAAAGACCACTAAAATTTTTATGGCGTTCGAAACATTTTTTTATTACATAATCAGTTGTTCAACGTCACAATATATTTTGTTTTCTTGAAATGTATTCAAGAAACGATGTAAAACTCAAAAGAGGGACTAAATCACCCCTTACAAAATTAATGGAATCGTCTATTAAAATGTCCGCTTCGTTTTGACTATTTCCGAAGAAAGTTACGATCGAAACTTGAATTTTTCTCGCAACTAATCGCAACAATTTGATAAGTTTTGCGGTAAAAACGGACCTGTTTATTCTTAGGACAAAACAAATCAGCATCTGTTGCCACAAAGCAAGATTTGTAGCGCTCCAGTCAGACAACACACGGTGGGTTGCATACTCTCTCACGTGCTGTGGGAAAATGTTGTCATTCACCGGCGTGCGTGGCGCAGGCTGCCGGGCTATGACGGGGCAGCCGGCAGCAGTTCCCATTGTTTATTTCTCATCAATTCCCATATTTGTTTGTAAAAGTTTCGATTGTAAATGATTTGATATAACTTTTGTGGTCCTTTTAATAGCTTCTGTAGTGTAAATGGAACTGGTTTAGAGCATTTTGACTAGAATTTGGAGGCCTTACAAAATTGAAACCGCAGCGGTCGGTGCGGCTTATACGCCGGTGCGGCTTATACGCCGACTTCAAATCTTTATTTGCAGATTTTTGCGTGCTGCGGCTTATACGCCGCGCGGCTTATATTCCGAAAATTACGGTACATGTTCATCCCAGATGGCAATGGTGAAAGGCCATGGCCTTGAAGGCCATGGTATGGTGTTCTATTGACGCCAAATCTGCGTCGCGTCGTGCTTTCACGTCGTGCCGTCGCGTCGTACCGTCGCGTCGTGCCGTCGTCCGTCGCGTCGTGGCGTCGCGTCGTGCCGTCGCCCGTCGCGTCGTGCCGTCGCCTCTTAAATTACCGTTTCTAAGCACGTACACTGCATGAGGAAGCGACGCACCTTCACACGTCGCGTCGTGCCGTCGTGCGTCGCGTCGTGCCGTCGTACGTCGCGTCGTGCCGTCGCCCGTCGCGTCGTGCCGTCGCCTGTTACCTCGGCGCTTCTAAGTAGACTGCTTGAAGAGGCGACGCACACATTGCCCGTCGCGTTGTGCCGTCGCCCGTCGCGTCGTGCCGTCGCGTCGTGCCGTCGCCCGTCGCGTCGTGCCGTCGCCCGTCGCGTGACTGTATCTTTCTTGGCAATAGGTGGCGCCTTCATTCTTCATGTACCTGTACTGTATTTATGACATGCGTGCCGTGCGGTGAAAGTGTTGCAAATTGCTATGTCGTACAGTTTGTACACGGTTTGTGGGGAGGCCAATTATTAGTGGTTGCGGAGGTCCGACTCAATCAATTTCAAAATACATAGACTATTTTCTGCTTCCGATTGTCAAACAACAAAGCACATATACACGCGATTCTGGGCATATGCTTGAAAAACTAAACAACGTGACATTGAAGCAGGATATCCTATTGATCACATTGGACATTGTGTCCATACGAACTGCCCACAAGATGAGGCAATTGAATCAGTTTGCGATGCACTTGAAGTTGCCGATAACAGTCTGTACTACGCAATACCCAAACCTACAAGAGAACACGCTCGCTGTCTCCTGGAATTATCATGCTTCGAAACATATTTGAATTCAATGGAAAGTTCTTCAGACAGAAAATTGGCGTGGCTATGGGAAGCGAATGCAGTCCAGAAATATGCGATATAACCCTGTTCAAATATGAACAAGAAATTATTCTCCCACATAATCCTTCAATTGCGAGTTACATGATATACAGGGACAACGTCTTAATAATATTTAACGGTAACGAAGACCAAGCCGGTGTTCTCGTCCAAACTCTAAACCAAATTCATCCCACGCTCAAGTTCACGTCAGAGATTTCAAACAGTCAAGTCACCTTCCTCGACCTCGTCATCTACAAAGGCGAACGGTTCAAAAAAGAAGGGAAACTGGATACTCGAGTAGCAACCAAAAAAACTGATACCTTTCAGTATCTTGCTCGAGATTCAGCCCACCCTGATATAGTGTTTGGCGGTTTGATTAAGGGAGAATTAATGAGATATGACCGTATATGCACACACTCAAAAGATTTGAGGAGAAGGCTGAATTCTTCAAAGACAAACTTCAAAAACGCGGATACAACCAAGAAGACTTAGCCCTTCTCAAGGGCGGATCCTGGGGGGGGGCCAAACCCAAAGGGGCCCCCCCCCCCCAAAAAAACGAAACCATTTTTTTTTTATGTGACATCGCAATAAAGGCAGGCAATGAGTACACACACATCTTTTCCTCAAAAAAACATTGGTTAAAGTGGTCAGAAATTGCCTCAGATCGCACCACAGAGCATCTAGAATCCAAAAAAATTGTGTTTGGATCCGCCCTTGGCCCTTCTTCTCCAAAAAGG